AAAAAAAAAAAACACACCAAATAATTTAAATTGTGCTATATTTTGGATAATTAGTTTACCATTTTATCATCCAATCCTTCATATAATTATGTAATAATCAATCAAATTATTTTTAAGTATTGGTTGCGACACTCGAACACCTACCCTTAACGTTGATTATTAAATTGAACTATTTTGATTTATCTGAATAAGATTCAAGTTCGATTCATGTTCTAAATAAATCGAGCTTCAATAATTTTATAGACTCGTTTAAAAAAAGAAGTGTGAAAGTTTTGACTCATTTTTCTATAAAATAGTCAAGTTATTTGGACTCGTCGTGGACTCAATTTATTTTTCAAACGAGTCAAATTTGTACAATTTTTAAAATTCATTTACAAAAACAAAATTATAATATTTGACTTGATTACCAACTCTAACTACATTCTCTTCTCTCTATATATGTATATGTATATATATATGTATGTCTCTCTGCGTGTGCAATGAACGGTAGTAGCTTTTCTAATGATTTATACTTTATGCACAGGAAAACTTCTGAGAAAGTTTCCCCAGCCCTCTCGGGTCAACAAGAAAAGCAAAGGGAAGAAAGCGGTCAAGGATTATGAATGTTATGGCCATAGAGAGTGTTCCCTCAGATAGAGACTGATTCATGTGTTTGGCGAGAACCATGAATTCGCACTTATGACTTTGCCTATTTTTTTGCATTATAGTTATAAGAAAGCACATGGAACTTTTCCTCCAATTTCTTAAACATGAATTTGTGATCCAGAGTCCAGATTTGGGAACTAGTGTGCACTTAAATGCTGGCTGCGGTGGTAAGAAAAGATTTTGAGAGAAAGAAAAACCAACATAAAAGATTACCATATATTATACTAAAAATTATAATTTTTTGAGATATACTTGTAAAATAATGACCAATACTAAAATATTACAATAGATCATGAAAATTATAACTCACGAAAGAAAAGTCAAATTACAACTTTCAAAAAATTGATTAATGGGTTGTTTCTACCTACAAATTGAAACAAGTTTAATAATTATGAATGTTTGAAGGTGACGGGACTCCTGTATGGATCCTCAACCTCCAATGTGACACGTGGCCCAATAAAATCATTAAGATGTCTGGAAGATGCTGAAGGGGTGAGTCGAGACGTGGCGATACAGAGCGGCCGAATACAACAGCTGACATCATAATCAAAGTGATGTGACCTCGCATTTATGGCGAAATGAGTGATAGTGACAGGACAAATAAATACGAGTCTGCCGCCAACTGCTCTCTGCAAGTTTATGCCTACTGTCATGATGGCTGGAGCATTAATGACTGATGCATCGAAACAACGCGATTGATTCTCCTGAGTTTCTTGATCCGTCGAGTAGTCCATGCTCTGTCGGTGTCAGATGCAACCTCTTGGATTGGGCTGCTCAACTCGCAGTATAAAGCCGAGCACTTACACCATTCCCCTGACATTCAATTGGAGGAGGCGTAAAGGGGAAGCATTCACAGCACGAGAGATGATGTCAAATGTGAGATGTCTAGATGGGACTGAAGATCTAGAACAATCATTGCTAATTCAGGTATAAATATCCCTCAGAAAAATGGACAAAGGTATGCAAAATCAAACCAGAGCACATCTACTAAGAAACAGCCCTTCGATCATACTGACTTAAGCTTCGGAGGGAATCCGGCGGGCTCACATCTGGTCCCTTTTCTTTTAACTCCGTTTTTTCAAGTTCGTCAATCAAAGGATCGCTATCGTACAAGATTGCAGGAATTATCCCTCGTAAAAGGATAACCAAAGCCCCTCGGAAGTGGGAGGAATCATTTGAAATGACCAAAGTCATTGTCTACTTAGATTTTATAAAAGACTGAATTTTACGAAAGACTGAATGATACTATTCAAGACGAACTCTAAGCCATACTGAGAGAGAGAGATAATACAGAACAAGAAGATCAATCGTGTAGGAGTGAAGACGGGATTCACTAGAGGCAGCAAGACTCCTAAATTGCCCTCAAGAAAAAACCAACCTGAACAGGGCGACATGGTATCCGAATCATCCATTGCCCAAGGAATGGACACTAATGTGCAAATGCATTGGGCAAGATAGAAGTTCATCAACAAATTGAATTAGTCGGATTGTAACTTAGAAGAACCCCCACCCACACGTAAGAAACCTACTTAATGCAAATCTATCTTAGTGTAATTTTCGGTAGATATTCAGTTTTTTTTTTTTTAAAATTTACAAAAAAGAAAGAAAAAAAAAATTATAACTGTTCAAAAAGAATTTATCACCTTTTGAGTAATTGAATTTTTTTTTTTAAATATAATATTTTATTATTAAAAATAACAATTTGTGGTACCAAATTTTCAACATGATAAACTAAACGGGCAAAAAAGTTGGATTCAAAAAATTGGAGTGGTTGAGAAACACGCGGCAACACGACGAAACCCGACATTCACCCCGTCAACGGGGAATTAGTTCCTGGTCCCACACCCAAAAAACCCGACCCCCCGTGATTCGGGTCAATAAATAAGCGGCTTCGTCGTCGGTGCCGCCCCTGTATTAAAATAACCCGATAAAAAATACTAGTATCATCAAAACCACCCTCTCGGGTAACGCCCTTTTTACCCTAATCCTTTCACAGCCGTCAGATCTAGACACAAACCATAACGATCCGTGCACTATGGTACAAAAAAGCACCGAATCTCGAGAAATAACCTCCTGCAATCCGACAGTTGGCACAGAGAGAGCCCATGCTTCTCTTCATGAGGCCGCCCTTTCTTATGTATCTCTTAAAGTTTTGTGTCCCGTATGGTAGTGGTGGGTCCTGAAAGGATTAAATTACATATTAACCCCTTAAATATGCCTTTTAATTCATACTAGAGCCGTAACAATTATAATTTCCTTATTAATCCAATGAACAAATATTTTCTTCTGCTCACTATTGTGATTTGATAACAGACATTTACGTCTCAAAATAATATAAAAAATTTAAGAGGCAAAATAAACCCGAGTTCGTAGTTGAAGTGTTTTAAGGTACAATTTGCCCCTTTAGAAAATATTCTAAGGTCAGCAATCAGACTCTAAAGTGCGCCGAATGGTAACAGCGCATACCTTGAAAAATCACCCACGCGCCGACGAGTTATCCACAATTAATAGCAAACACAGAAACAGAAAAAGATCAGACAGATTTTGTATTGTTGAAATTGCTTTCAGATGAAAACAAAAGCAAAAATCTCATTATCAGATACCCGATAACCACCATCTGAGAAATTATAATCCACAGCCGGAAAAAAAGAGAGCTTGGTTATAACTATATATACATATACATATATATCAGCACATCGAAGAATGTCTGGCTGCCGTTTTCTCTCCACAGATTTCCTTCCTAAATAATTCAGCTTTTTTTTTTTTTTTTGGTTACACTTTGCATAAGGAAAAACGCGATTAATTTGAGGGAATTAATGAACTAGACGTGGATAGGTAAATCGATAGAGGAGGCGATTTAGGTCCGGTGATATCAATCGACATCCGGTGCTGGAGCCAGGTTGAGATCGAGATTAAGGACCTTTTTCGGTGAACTACGGTCAGAATAATTATAATCAACGACGGATGATGAGTCAGAGTCGCTCTGGACGCCAACGGCGACGTTAGGGTTTAAATTGGTCACAGATCGGGGCAGTGTGAACATATGGAGGCGATTGCTGATAGAATCGGGCCGCGAAAGGGTGTCGAGGAAGAAAATCGGACGAGCAGTCGGGAAAAATGCCGGCAAATGTGCACTGGTGCCGAGGTTTAGATCGAGACATGGAGGAGTCACAGCGATTTGTGTTGGTGCAGAGCTAGAGGACTCAACGGTGCTGCTCTGGCTAGGGCTCCGAACGGCGGCGGCTGTGTGACCGGCGATTTTGTTGGTGACGACTTCGGAAGGGGAAGGGAAGTTGGTCTTTGCCTTAGCGCCACGAAACTCACGCGCAGCCGCGTCGTATGCACGCGCCGCCTCTTCAGCAGTGTCGAAGGTACCAAGCCAGACTCGGCTCTTCTTGCCGGGATCTCGGATCTCGGCGGCGTAGCGGCCCCATGGCCTCTTCCTCACGCCTCTGTAACGAGTCTCCTTACCGTTGACAGCGCCGGCTGTGGGTCCTTTAGCGGCGTTAGACCTCTCCCTTGGAGCCATTGTCTCTTGTGATAAGATTAAGTTACGGAATCTGTCAGGTAAATGTTATCATCGAGATCGATCGAGAAAGAGAGAGAGGAGGAGAGGGATGTCCTAGAGAGGAAGAAGGGGGTGTTGAGTGGGATTTATAGAAGGGAAGGCGTACAAGAGCCCTACGACCACGCGTCATCAAGGAGCGTGCAAATTAAAAACGATGGATATGTGGCTCCTTCGCCGGGGGGCTAGGGCACTACATTGAAGACGATTTATTAGCCAGTCAAAGCTTTCCACGTCTACTACAAAAAGGTAAGAATATAAACGAAATTGAATGTAGACGAAATATGATATTCTCATGGGTAACAATTAAAAATATAAAATAAGTTTCTGTGGGATGATATCTTTAATGAGTATACTGCTATTTTAATTTAAAAATTAGACTTAATTTATTCACTTGATTTATTATGACATTTGAATTGACTGTCAATTTTATTAAATATTAAAACTTATTTTTTATTCAATAATTTCAATAAAATTATATAATTAAGTCAACAAATAAGATTGAATTTTTAAATTCAAATAATATTACTCACCCTTAATTGTATTGAGAATGAGAGAATATATTTGGGTAGATGTATGTCTCATAATGAATTGTAATGATCTTAAGATGTATAGTTGAATATATGGAATTAAAATACAAGCAATGTCTAGGGGTGTTACAAAATTAGGGATAGCAGGGGATCGAAAAGGGGGCGGGGGTATGATCTCCCATCCTCATACCAATTTAAAAAAACTCCATTTATTCTTGGTTCACCCTCGTTAACGGATATAGTTTTCATTACATCCCCGTCCCCCACCCCTGCCCTCGTTCCAATTCAAGCGCAAGTCAACATAATCTAAACTTTCAAATAAATTCAACGTTCTAAATAATTTAACATAATTATAGAATATCATAACATAATTAAAAGATTGTCTACAACATAATCTAACATTACATAATTAAAACCTTATTTGCAGCATAATCTAACATTAAATTAACCATAATTGTATCAATGTTTGTAATCAACAACATGTCAAAATAAACTTTCACATATTATATTATGATGCTAATAATTCACTTAAAAATCAATTTACTTATTTATTAGAAGGAATTATCAATTAATCAATATCATTTTAAAAGAAACAAAAACTGTTAACTCATATGTAAGAGAATGGACAATTTTATGGCCAAAATTCCCCAAAGGGCTAGGTCTGAGAGAAAATATCAGACCTAGCTCCATGATGAAGTACATTTTTCTCAACACAAATAAATAAGCATTCATTATTAGTAAAATTTTAAACCGCTAATATAAACAATCAAACAAGCTTGTATAGTGTGATTTTGTCGTGCCAAAAATTCAGGAGTAATTCATTGACTATAAAACTAACAAAGTACACATGACAATGTCCATTATTCAAACAAACAAGACACCAAAAAACTAGTTTTATATTTGGGACTAATTGTATTTTTATATATAACGAGGACGGGGTGGGGCGGGGGACAGAGGTAAGTGGCAGTACATCTCCACATTCATTCCTGCATGGATTTATACGGATATTCTTGTATACGTTCATCGTACAATACATATGATCAATCCACAGTCCAAATGAAACGAATTTGGACAAATACCTATTTTTCTTTTGATTCACTGTCATCCATGTCCACAGTGGTCTAGCTAGTCTAATGTTTCACTAGTGATTTGGTAGATAATTCAATTCAACAACTTCTTAATTTTAACTATTTAGAATTGATTATATGAATCATGTTTTTCCATTGAATTTTATCAACGTTTATAGATCCTGTCAACTTTATAATTTTGCTAGATAAATAATATAAATTATTTTATATAATCGAACATGCACAAGTTAATAAAGGATCATAAAAATAATTGAATGATAATGTTTGAATTTGGTAATAATAAGAGTAATGTAAAAATTAATGATTCAATGAAGGATAATATTCGAGCTGATAATTTTTCAAGAAAGTTGTTGAAAATTTTTGGATACATTATGAATTTCAAAATTTCAATACAATTATAGAGCTTATTTGTTTTGCTAATCAAAAAAATTACAAATAATTGTAGATGCCATGGAAGTGACACGTACATGGTTTTCATGAGAAAATATTTTTCGTAACTGTAACATAATTATTTTTTATCATTCTCTAATAATAAATTTACAAATAAAGAGTGTGACCAATACATAATCATGTTTTTGGTATTGTTGTTGAAAAATAAAATAAAAAAATGAAAGTGAGAGTGATGCATATTTTATCAATCATGAAAACAAATCATTCATTTTTCTTATTTGTATTTAGTAGAAGAAGAAAGACGACAAATATGAATAACTAATTTTTGTGCTTTGTAGAATGAAAAAAAAATATAGACTCATATTTTATTATTGTATTTATATATTTTATCATTTTATATATAATACGTAACCGATAAAAGGATGTATGCATATATTTAAAGAATATAAAAATAAATAATATATATTTTAATGGTGCGAATGATCAAGGGTTATGAACAACACGAAGCATGAGCTGTATGAGAAATTTAGTAGTAAGTAATTTATAGGTGGGGTCAAATAAAGATTTGTTGACACTGTTATGAGTAGAGGTAGTTGCGTGAGCTCGATGCATAGTGTATCGTCTGTGAGCCATTAAACAACTTAGTAAATTATGGGAAACACAAAAAAAAATGAGTTATTTATTAGCTGTAAAGAGTTTAATTAGTCTATTGTAACGAGGGTTTTTACTCATTTTATTGTATATTACTTAAAAAAGAAAAAGGTCGATATAAGAATTGCCTATTCTTTTTTATATAGGGCGTCTGTTCTATTTATACAAGGATGGTCATCACTAATGATGTGGTGGTCTCCTCTGATCTATAAAATCACTTAGAAATTATTTGATTGTTAGAAATAATCTTCCACCGGGTTGGATGGGCTTTTAAAAATAGTGAAGTGGTATTCTTTGAGTGTCATGATTTCGTGTCCAAGACTGTTCTCATTGTTTGAACTCTGTTGCTTACCGTTGTGATGATTTTCAAACTATCCTAAATAGGGTAGAGTTGAATCATATTTTTATATATATTTTATTAATTTAAGGTGAATTCAGTAAAGTCGACCAACTTGGAAATAATTAGTCTGAATTATTTTGAGTCTGATCTGAGCCATGATGTTTTAATATATATAATTAATTATTTTTAATTTTAAGAAAATAAATTTTGATGGAGTGAAATAAAGACTAAAATGGTCCACTATTACTGCCTCTCTAAATTCTAACCATCCATATTTACCTAAATGTCCTTTCACATGCTTTGCAATGCTGACCGTCAAACGACGCGCCACACGTGAGTTATGTTAGGACATCATCGTGTGAGTGGGAGCTGGGGAAATATTCGGCGCAGTCAACAAGACTGTAAAATGCCGCCGCCCTGGCGCAACCCTGGGTTCAAGCAAAATGCATAATAATTGTTTGTGTGGGTCACGTGGGTTATCACGTGTCACGCGTCTCTGTGTCTATACACGCGGCGACCGGTCTGACCCAGAGGATTCGGTGCAAAGCAAAAACATTAACGGCGTTAAAGACGGCTGATTTGCTTCGACCGCCTGTTCCTAAAAAGACGGAAATGCTGACGGTGTTTGTTTGTCTCTGGCACAGTCCCGCGTGAGCCGGACTCGGATCTGTTCCGAACACACCCACCCCCCCTTTGAACCGCTCAGCTAGGGGGGGAGGGGGGAGTATTGTACACGTGGTCCTTTGTTAATCTTGAAACGCGTCCTGTTAATCTGAGGCTGTTGATGTTGCCACGTGTTGTGACGTGTCGAGATCTTGGGGCAGTATAGCACAGGGCGTGTGGGGTCCTCTCTGAATAATGAAGAGATGTTTTGACCGTGAGCTACTCAGCCAGAATCTATGATTATGTCCCTAAGTAATGAGTGAGACATTAACGGCGCTACAGAGTTTTTTAAAATTGTACGCGCACCCCTGTATTTCCAGTGTTTCGTTCCGGGATTTGTCAGCAAAAAAAATTTTGATATCATATTTTTAAAAGGTATTTTCATAATTTTTGTGACTTAATTTATAACTAAAAAATTTATTATTTTTATGAATAATTTAGTATTTTATAGATATTTTTATCACTATTGTGATAATTATTTTTTGCTTTTCGATATAAAAAAATTACCACTTTTATAGATTTTTTTATTATTACTATGATAACTATTTTTATAAATTTTTTTGGTTACCACGACTATAGTAAAAAAACACACCCACAATAATAGTAAAAATACCCAACAAATATAAAAAATCATGCCATTTAATTATCTCTCAAATTTTGTTAGAAGCTAAAATCTTGCAACTCAACACAACAATTTTAATGTGACAATAAATTTAGTGGAATGCGAGAGAAAGTGAATCAAAGGGTATGGGAGCAATGGTCAATGACAACGCTTTGAAGTTTTCACACAAGAAGGGAAAATTGAGCAGGAAATCTAAGTAATATATACCTCGTTGTTTTTTTTGGATTGACATGGAAATGTTTAATGAGAAACCAGGAAGTTCGTGCAACAATCTTGATAAACTTCTAGAAGATGTGACTCTGATATAAACTTTCTGGACTTTAGAAAGATTGTTAAATTTGATAGTAGAGTTGCTAATTTCAAGTAGTCTTACAACTGTCATTAAAATAACTTTCTGCCGTCAATGAATTCAAAAATTACTTTGGGGCCAAAGTAGTATGCATGAACGTGTATCAGGTCTTTTGTGTGTTTTATTGTACAAATATCATCAAGCTAATCTCTCCTTGATGACTAGAAAATTGCTTGACAGCAGGTAAAAGATTATGACCATCTGAAGTATCAAGGCAAGTGCTCGGGTTTATACTNCGGCTGATTTGCTTCGACCGCCTGTTCCTAAAAAGACGGAAATGCTGACGGTGTTTGTTTGTCTCTGGCACAGTCCCGCGTGAGCCGGACTCGGATCTGTTCCGAACACACCCACCCCCCCTTTGAACCGCTCAGCTAGGGGGGGAGGGGGGAGTATTGTACACGTGGTCCTTTGTTAATCTTGAAACGCGTCCTGTTAATCTGAGGCTGTTGATGTTGCCACGTGTTGTGACGTGTCGAGATCTTGGGGCAGTATAGCACAGGGCGTGTGGGGTCCTCTCTGAATAATGAAGAGATGTTTTGACCGTGAGCTACTCAGCCAGAATCTATGATTATGTCCCTAAGTAATGAGTGAGACATTAACGGCGCTACAGAGTTTTTTAAAATTGTACGCGCACCCCTGTATTTCCAGTGTTTCGTTCCGGGATTTGTCAGCAAAAAAAATTTTGATATCATATTTTTAAAAGGTATTTTCATAATTTTTGTGACTTAATTTATAACTAAAAAATTTATTATTTTTATGAATAATTTAGTATTTTATAGATATTTTTATCACTATTGTGATAATTATTTTTTGCTTTTCGATATAAAAAAATTACCACTTTTATAGATTTTTTTATTATTACTATGATAACTATTTTTATAAATTTTTTTGGTTACCACGACTATAGTAAAAAAACACACCCACAATAATAGTAAAAATACCCAACAAATATAAAAAATCATGCCATTTAATTATCTCTCAAATTTTGTTAGAAGCTAAAATCTTGCAACTCAACACAACAATTTTAATGTGACAATAAATTTAGTGGAATGCGAGAGAAAGTGAATCAAAGGGTATGGGAGCAATGGTCAATGACAACGCTTTGAAGTTTTCACACAAGAAGGGAAAATTGAGCAGGAAATCTAAGTAATATATACCTCGTTGTTTTTTTTGGATTGACATGGAAATGTTTAATGAGAAACCAGGAAGTTCGTGCAACAATCTTGATAAACTTCTAGAAGATGTGACTCTGATATAAACTTTCTGGACTTTAGAAAGATTGTTAAATTTGATAGTAGAGTTGCTAATTTCAAGTAGTCTTACAACTGTCATTAAAATAACTTTCTGCCGTCAATGAATTCAAAAATTACTTTGGGGCCAAAGTAGTATGCATGAACGTGTATCAGGTCTTTTGTGTGTTTTATTGTACAAATATCATCAAGCTAATCTCTCCTTGATGACTAGAAAATTGCTTGACAGCAGGTAAAAGATTATGACCATCTGAAGTATCAAGGCAAGTGCTCGGGTTTATACTTCTTGTACTGTTTCTGCTCATCTGTATAGATCTTTATAATGTTGTGTTTTTTTTTTGGTCATTGTATACATAAAATTTAAGCAAAAAACTAAACAAAACCAAACCATCATTCTCTTGAGCGGCAAGATTCGTCTAGTTGGAGCTAACACCTATTGTTGGGAAAATATCCCTTTGCAGGTTTGGGTAGCAATTAAATTCGCTAGCTAGTTGTCCTCCCTCTTTATAGCTGCAAAGCTTACAGTTTGGATATGCTCTGCACATGCTCATATGTCTCTATGTATAGTTTCAATCTTTTTCAGTGTGGCTGTAGGTCCTTTCCTCAGAGAGTCAATGAGGATTTTTTCAATCTGATTCCACTATTGCTGTTTGATAACCTTCATCTATACCCAACCTGCATGCTCGTCTAATTGTCCAGGTTTCTGCCACCAATGGGGAGTTTCCTTTAATTTCCAGAGGTTCTTGTTAGGAATTTCCCCCATGCATCACAGGCTACAACTCCAAAGGCCCGTTTCGTTGTGCCTTGGCAGCTGGCATGGAACTCAGTTGATGTTGACCCATCCTCTTGTTGGCACTGCCCATGATGCCACGTTTTGGCTTTCTCTCTTGTGGGACATGTCTTTCCTCTGTAATTTGCTTCGGTTCTGTAGCAGTTGTGCCAGCAAGAGTAACCGTTATTGCTGTTGAGGTAGTCATGATGTACGCAAGCCTGTTTTGAGTACGTGGCACATTCACGTCAAGCTCCAGGCAGTTGCAAACAAGGAAACAAGAAGTCTATAAATCTCTTCCAAACTTGCAATGTAATTAAGTTATACAACAAATACTCCACCATAAAAAACAACTCCCTGGGCGGATATCCCAAAGTAGAAAGAATAATATCATATCAAGTCCGAACTCCAAAAGGGAAGGAGCGTTGTTGTTTAGAAAAGTAAACAAGAACTCAGAACCAAATGGAATCAATAACGAAGGAAAATAAGAGAGCTCAATTGCATTGAAAGGAAATATACAACAAGAAGAACGACAACGAGCTCCATGTATTATCATCTCTAACAAGGGGGCGATAATCAATTTCTCCACAAGCTACCAATTTGGTACATTTTTACATGGAAAAGGTGGATCCTATCAGACAGTGACGGCTGGAGCAGGTGTGTACCAGCCATGGTGTATTTCGACAGCTTTCTTTCTTCTTGCAAGCCGGGACTTCCTCCGTGCTCCAGTGTTCCTGTGAAGAGTTCCCACTTTCACTGCTTTATCAATGACAGAATATGCCTCAGCAATCAGTTTCTCAATGGAAAGAACTTCCTCTGGTTGTGCACTGGGTTTCTTTTTGAGTACATCCAATTCTTCCAGAACCTGGAAAGAAAAGAAAGAGGATAGCATTTTAGATCTGCAAAAAATCCATCCATGCCCAATATTGTTATATTCAAGCCATATTCTATCCCCCTTTAGATGCCACTGTATACATTACGAGATTGGGAAATAGGGTGGCACCCGGAGTGGCAAAAAATTCTAAGTTTACTGATGAACTTGGTGAATGGCTAGGACAGGCTCTAGTTTTTATAATGCCTCATCTCCTAGACGATATTCCAAAAAATCAAATTACAACCAATTTTGAAAAAAGAACCATCTTTATTTCGATTTTCACAGTAATCAATTCATTAGCCTTCCTAACTTATACTTCTACTTTCTACTCTCAGGCAACATTTGGTTGATATAAATAGTTTGAAATTCAATGTCCAGGAAAAAAGAAAATAAAGGAAGCAGCATTTGCTCGGACAAGTCTTTTCATAACGCGTTGCTCTTCCAGTAAAAGGTTGTTCAATACCAACATAATCACCTCATATAAAACATCAGGGCTACAAGGACACAAATACCCTAGTCCATTCTATTCATGAAGCTTGGACGCAGAAAATACAAGGTAACATGGCTTGCTAACACCACAAATCTGACAAAAGGTAGACGACGTATTATTTAAATTCTGCATTGCACGTTCCTCCAGAAACATTATGGTATGATAAGAAAATATAACACACATTATGACTTACGAACCAAAGTGTCATCAGAAAAAAAAACTATAGGAAAGGCGTATACATAGCATGCGTGTCTAGATATTTAAATTCGTCTGTATGCATGTTTTCCTCTCAAAGCATCTCCTCCCTGAAACCTTCTTGCATCTTACATTTGTTTACTCAATATGGCCATACATTTTTCATTTATTGTCAGTAAACCTTTAGTTGAACTTTTTGACTTCATATTATGCAAGAATTCCATGGTAAAAGAAAGTCATATCCCCATTCCTAAGGCTCGAGCGTTCGCAGAAATGTGTTGCTGAGTTCCAGAAAGTGCTGATGGTCTCCAAAACTAAAAACCATACTTATAATGTACATATGAACTGATGAGGTAACAAACTTGTTACCAAGAATATGGTAACCATAACACCCCCATTCAATTGAAGACGAATACAATTTTAAAATTTGGAGACTAAGAGTGTGGATTTGCCAAAATTGCTCAAGCTTCTGCTTTCCGTTGCTTAGAGTTAATAGTATAAGCAGACACATATGAAAGGAAGATCACAACTATTCTAATAAGATCCAATAATCATCAGCGGCCCTGCAAAATCATTACAATACTTAGAAACAGTAAATATCTTCACTAACTTTTAGTTAGAAATATTACACTACACGATAAACTGAAAAGAAGCCGACCATTGTTCCCGCTGGTGCAGTTATATCTCCTACATTGAGGGATTATCCCAGTTAGTTTGGGGTCAATTCGTCTCCTATTGGCATCCCACATTTGGATCTGCAGCCCATAGGGATGGATTAAGCATGTCTGGGTACATATGTCTTTCATCTTTAGCAGGTTGGTGGCAGTTCTTCGGTATTTTCCAAACTTGGCATCTTTGAGAAGCCAATGGGGTTACATGCCTAGCCGCAAAATGGTGACAGATGAGATGGTTCTAGACATAGTTGTTAGTATCGTACGATACGCGATACGTATCTTATGATACGGAAGTAAAACGATACGGATCGTAGTTGTGTATCATTTTTGCGTTGTATCGTCCGATACACAATGCATTTTTATGATATGATACATATCGGTACGATACGAACGATACGCGCAAAACCTGTTTAATTTATTTTTTTTTTTGGATGGAACGCCATTGTTTTGTCTAAATAAGGAACTGATTTTTTTATCTCTACCACTGAAACGACGTCGTTTTAGTGGCTAGGGTTTACAACAAAAATAAAATACCTCTTTTACTCTCTCCTCTTCGTTATTCGTTGTCTTCCTTCGGTGTTCTTCAGACCTCACGACGACGAAGACAACAAAATACAGTACACAGCAGCCTTCGACACATACGATAAAGGCAGCAAAATCTCTATCTTCTCTCTGTTCTTCATCGACTGTCTCTTTCTTCTCTCTGTTCTCTGTCTTCTCTCTGTTCTTCATCGACGAAGGCAGCAAAATCTAAGAAACCATCGAAGCAGCCCTGGATCTGCGGCAGCCAAGCCATCTCGCCTCTCGCCTCTTCTCTTTTCTCTCTGTCTCTATGCTCGTTCGTGGGTCAAACGATTTTGCAGATATTTTTTTTTTATTATTATAAGAAAGAACAACTACATTTACTATCCCACTACATTATAATTTTTACTTTTACGTATACATAAGTACCATTAATTTAATTTGATACCCTTAATTATTTTTTTAATATTAGTAAATTATATTGGTGACTTGAATAGTAGGTGCAATATTAATGAAATGTTATATTTTTATGAGTTTATGATTTTTTTTCAAAAACATATATATTTAATTATTAATTATTTAAAATTGTGCCGCATCTTACGATACACAATACACGATACGATACACAATTTTTAAAAAATAATACACCTTCTGATACACGATTTGATAATTATGTTTCTAGATAGCCACAACAAAGAGTAAGCTCACATTTTCTACCTAGAAAGGTGGAAGTGAGGCCACAACTTTAATGTCCATCAGAATGTGAGAACATCCCTTTGATATTTTAAGAGAAACTGATACAAGATAGAAACTACTTCAAGTATTTAAATTGTGAATCCAACTTTCACACCAAATATTTTCCTTTTTATTTTTTGTGATTTCAGTCATTTTGGCAAAATTCTACAATTTCTTGGTTCCAATCCACCTATTCTTGGTGAAGGATATTCTCTTGTAGTGATGGAAATCAAATTATCAATATCATGAAGATTATATATAGTCTAACCTAGTGTTATATAGCAAAAACATCTTGTAAAGCCATATTTTTATTGTGGCAAATATTGTCAGAAAACATCACATCCAATTTTCCTATTCCCATTTAAGTGTTCACAACCTAAATGAAGATGTGTCATTGTGGTGGGAATTTGTGTGATTGTTGTCTATTTAATCATCCCAATGTTCGCATTGTTAAACTCAAACAACAAAGTAGGAGCTCCCTCTCCCAATATACAAAATAGTTCTCTAGATTCTGCTATTAAAGCAACTATTGATGATAAAAAGGAATTCCTATCATGATGACAATTTTGCGAGCAATGCTACATCCATAATACATCAGCATATTTCCCTTGCAAAATTCATTTAAACACTCATCTGCATTCCACTAAGAAACTAGCTATAATCCCGGGGTAAACACAACCTAAAAGCACAACATTTGAGTAAGAAAACCGCTGAGTCCCCAAAATAAATACATGCTTCATCATTTCAAATCAAAACCAATTGATGTATTTGCAACCTATAAAAGTATGAAGCAACAAGAAGATAATACAATCACAACACATACACGCACACACCCGCGTAGCCACACTTTGAAGCAAAACGCATAACGTGAAACGAACATCTAGATAATATAAGGAATCCAATGCTGAACGGTACAAATAGGCTCAATTTGCACACATCGAAAATGAAAAGGCATGCGAACCAGTGAATACACAATTTGAAAAACAAAACGGGTCACCTTCTTCATCCGAGTTCTAATTTCAGATTTCCGAGCTTTGTTGTAGACACGCCTTTTCTCGGCTTGACGAGCCCTTTTTGCAGCTGAATCCGGCTTCTTCGTTGGAGCCGCTTCGCAAACAATTGAACGACGTAATGGTCTCTGGACGGGGCTAACAGAAGCAAATCCTGAAAATGTAAAGATACATTAAACTTTGAGGAATAAGGTTTTTGGGTTTTAAACGGAGATACATGTGTATATCAGAAATACGAGAGACCCAGAAAAATAGAAGCGATTTCCGGGGGGGGGGGGGGGGGGGGGGGNGGGGGGGGGGGGGGGGGGGGGGGGGGGGGGGGGGGGGGGGGGGGGGGGAGCGGGAATGGAGAATGGGTTTGTGAACATACCTTTGGAAAAAAGGTTCACTGAAGTGTTGGCAGAGAAGCTAAGGGGCCTGAAAGCATTACAATTTGGCTGAGAAGAAGAAGAACCATTGAGGGATAGGGTCTTGAATTTGCGAGGCAAGCCCCAGCAAGAAGACAGACAATGTACAGCAGCCCCAGCCATCGTTCTCTCTAGATCGTCGCAGAAAAAGAACGCTGATCGTAGCTAATTGCTAAAACCCTCTGCCCTCTGGTTCTTCTATCTTATCCACAGCGCAGAGTCGCAGACCTAGAAACCGGGCCAGCTGAGGATGAGGCTGACCGGTTTTTAATTCTTTCTTATTTTCCTTTTTTTTTTTTTTTTTCAATATAAAGGTGAACGAAGAGGTCTGAACTCGAGAACTGAAGACTAAGAGCGAGGTGATAACTATAAATTCATGCACTTTTAAAGTGGGAGATTCACCCTTTACATTTTTAAGGTGAAATGAGAAAAATAGCCCTAATAAAAGAGGTTATTTATTTTTACTATATCCCACCCTTGACAATGAACTAAAAGACAACAAACTAAAAAATTCAATGTATTTTGTTATATATTAGCTCTTTTTTTTATCCATAATATATAATAAAATACATTAATTTTTTTAGTCCATTATTTTTTAATTTACTGTTATTGAGTTAATTGTCGTATAATTTACAGTCGACAGTTCACTTTTGGGGGGAGTGTTGGTGATGGTGAATTTCTATGGAATAAGAGCTGGATGTACTCACGAGAAAAGTAATGACCCTTGGTCGAGGTGAAGTCAATTTAGTGTAACATTATCATGATACTAAATGGTATCATTGTTTAGTTTATGTAAACAATTAAATAATAAATTGGGTTGATGTTTTAATTTCATGTAACTGTTTAGTTTATTAGAACACATGAGTAATAGTTTGGTGTATTATAGGATAATTATAATTAATTAGTGTAATTGTATCATTGTAACGTTGACAATGAGAGAGTAACGGAGAGAGAGAGGGAGTAATGGAACAATGAATGACTTTTTAGTATTTTTTCAAAAAAATATACTTGCGGTCAAATAAATTTTCTTAATATAATTTAATTCAATTAAATTTAAATTTTTGTACTATTTTTCAAAGAAATTATAGAATGGCCTAGCATTTCGGCCTCTAACAGCGTCTAAACCCAATAAAATACCTTGATACTGTCCTGGGCTAGGCCCTGTAGGGGAATCTATGGGCCTATTGGTAACCATTAGTGAGCCTGGCCCACCGTAGAACATTAACCTTCGTGCATAGTATATCGACTAAGATATGCATTTAATCCAATATAAATATGGAATCAAAGAGTCGTTTAGCTCAGCTTCAAGTACTCTAGCCCAAGAGTTTAATAACAAACACGTTACGATCCGACCCTATATATGAAAATGATGTACATTTTGGCAACCTTGGCCAACACATAGTCCGGATGTTGGCTGTGGCTGACCCGCATCCGGATCCGGGCATTCATTCCCCTTTTTTAGAGTAACTTCAACTCTGTTAAACAAAGTAACTATTTAAAATATATTTAAATATTAAATTTTCTACTTTAGATAGTCACTTTTTAAAATTCACTCTAACCATGTTCTCTATTTTAGTTAACTATTTCATTCAACTACCTTTAATTAATTTTTAAATAATAAATTCAAAAACTTTGAAATATTATCACCATAAATGTTTGCGTATACACATACTTAAAATAAATATGGCATGGTCATCTTCAACCCAAATATAAAAATTTAGTAAAATATCTGCATACACTTATTCAGTAGAACCTCTAAATGAATTACCAAACAGTTCAACCCATTTAAAAAAGACAATAACCATTCAAAAAAAAGCCAAAAATCATAAGAATTGAATCAAATATATTAGACTTTTTTTTTTTTGGCTGGTTGTCAGATTTAATTCAAAAAAGCCAAAAAAAACCTAATTCGCAAAGGAGACAGAGCGACTGAAGGGAGAGAGCAGCTTTGCTTGTGTGACAGTGTGTGTCGTTGTGCGAATGGTGAGTGTTCGTGTCGTTTTGTGAGTGTATGTGGTAGAGAGCAAAAATGAAGAGATTAGAAGAAAGAAGACGTATTTGGTAGAGAAGGAGGTAGAGCAATTGAAGGAAGAGAGAGTCAAGTAGCAATTGACGAGCAATTTGGCCTCTTCAAATCTGACTAAAAAGAACCTCAAACTATTTTGATGAGGAGGATGACTAATGGATTAAAGCTGAATTTTATAATGTTACTCGCCAAGATAACTAAGAGTTGCCATTGAACGGGTGCATTTCACATCGTAGAGGAGACGTCCGAAAACAGATCTTCTTTGATCTCATCTCATGCTGACTCATCTCCCCTGGTTATCTGTGTTTTTTCCATGCAAATCTTGTTGGAAGCTACCACGTGCTGAGTTTATCTCCAAAAAAATAGAAAGTTTGACCCTTCATCTATAAAAAGCCAATATCTCCAACAAGTTGTTATACGTTGAAGGGCAGCCAATCGAAGTGGAAAATTCCCAAGTTGCAAACCTTTCTTCACAAGCTGTTGCAGGTGCTTTCTCTCTTGCTCTTTAGGATTTTTCTCCTCTATGGAGATGTTTTAGGGTGTGTTGGGTTTTTAAGTTGGGTATCAAAATTTGTATAGTTGAATGCGTGTTTTGTTTAATCAGATTTAATGAGCGTGTCAAGTTTAATTGAGATTGATTGATTGATTAATTAAAGAGTAATGTTACATAGAATTAAAAACTAGATTTAAAAATTATGTTTGATAATCTCAACCATTGAATAAGTAGTGAGTCTCAATAAATGATGGGACCTACAGTGAAATTAATAGTTGAGATTATCAAATCTAATTTTTAAGTCTATTTTTTAAATTTATGTAACATTGCTCTTAATTAAATTAGATTTCTAATTGATTGGATGTGAATTGCTTAAATGCAATTAGTTGGATGGTGGGGTCGGAGTTCTTAAAATCGAATCCGACACAATTTTAAATTATAATGTTTCGCAATCTATCCATTTGACAGTCCACCAGACTTTAAAGTTTAGGAAAAATTCCGGTTACAACCTTTCTAATTTATCATATTTTCAAAAATATTTTCTCTATTATAAAAAATATTACTGATACTTCATGTCATTAAACCATCATTTATAATAAAAATAAATTATTAAAAATACCAAAATTGTTCTTACATAAACTCCAAACAATCCTTCTACATAAAATTTAATTAAAATTCGAGCTAATTAAATTTTTTTTTCTACATATTGAAATTTAAGTAGATTAAAATTTAATTTGAATTGATTAAATTTTATTTTGTTTACATATTAAATTTTGAGCCAATTTGACCTCTACTTGAATTGTTAAAATTCGTTTCGAATTGATTAAAATTTATTTTTTATGTATTAAAATTTATATTTTTTAATGTATCAATATTCGGGCCAATTAAAATTTAATGCGAATTAATTAAAATTTAATTTGAGTCTTGAATAGAATTTTAATAGTACTCCTTACCTTGTGAAGACTTTATTTTTTTTGAAATTAAGGGTTCAAGCCCCTCTCTTTTCCCCTCTTTCCCCCTCCCTCCAAAAAAATAGAATTTTAATGGGCTTAAATTTTAATACATAAAAAAAAAATAACTATCTTGAATCAAATTTTAATTGGCCAAAATTTTAATACGTAAAAAAAATTAGAAAATAGAAAGAATTTCATTGAAGGTATATTTATCTAGAAAGGAGTGTGGATGAAATTTTTCTTAAAATATATCATTGACAATATAGTAAAATTATATTTTAATTAACATTTTTATTCTAACAGGGGGTGTTAGTGAAGATTCAAAAAATAAAAAAAAATATTTTTAAAGATATGATAAATTAGAAGGATGTAACTGAAATTTTTCCTAAAATTTAACATTTCCCATCCACTTTTGTCGGGCATGGTTGAGAGGCTATGTTGAGTACGTGGCAGTAGTATCTCTTGTGCCATGAGATTAACCATTAACTATAACTCTAATTTTCTATTTTTTTTATCTTACCAAATAAAATATAAAAGTACAACAAGATGGGCTTAAAAAAATAAATTTCAAATTAAGTCATAACACTTAATTTAAATTATTACATAATTTCTCCCTCAGACTATGACATTTATTTATATCTTAATGTAATTTTTATTTTTTTTTTGTCAAGCTATTACTATATGAAAAGGGGAATTTGAACTTTGCTCCTGTGGATGATAATCAAAGGAGTGATCATTAGTCATTTGGTTTGGACCCAAAGTTGAGGTAAAGACATAAAGATGGGCCCCTTTTTTTTTTTGGATAAATAAGATGGGCCCCTTAACAATAGTCAAATTTGCATGAAATTTAGAGCCACACGTTTGCAATTAGGAATGTCAATATTTGTTTTGTGTGTTTTCATATTGTACTATTTTTAGATCATATTATTATATATTTTAATAAAAAATTATGAAATTTAAAATTACTTTTATGATATTTATATTTTTCAAAAATTAAAAATTATTTATTTTTTTCTTACAATATTAATTTATCTTATTATTTTATTGTGTTATTTTTGAGTTTCATCTCATTTTGTCTCCACCTAAACAAGTGAATATTTAATGCAAGAGTATCAATTAATAATAAAACTCTCGAGACTTGTTTGGTAGGCGTATTATGAGGAGATTAAATATTAGATTGTACTATTTTTTATTTAATCAGGTATGGTACTTTGTTTAAGTAAATTTGATACCGTATTAATTTCAAAAATATATATTAATCGTATATTTGTCGTATATTTTTTTATACGATAGACATGTATTATGGAGGTTTTTTAATATCACTAAGAGAGGTGGTATTATAATCTAGTTCAAACGTATTATTTTATACAGTTATTATTATAACCCCCAACGGACAAAATTAAGTTGTCATCAATGTAACAAATACTGATTGAAAATATTTTTGTTAATTCAACATTAATAGGATAAAATAATTCTCTAACTAAATAGCCGATTGAATTAAATAACTATTATCCAACATTTATGTTGTGTATTGTTAAATATTAGATAAAAAAACGTATTATTTTAATACATTATTTAATCTTGTCTTTTATTTCTTCGTATTGTATTAGATTGAATTATTTTATTTAATCCATCTATTTCTAATATAACAAATAAACGAGTCTTAAATGGATAAAGTGAATGTGAATTTCGTTCGAGTAATTATTAACTTATATAAAAGAAAAAAATATAATTATTTAGATATTTGGACGAGTAGTTATTAATTTATATAAAATTTATTTATTTATATATTATTAAAACGTGGTAACGCTGCCGTCCTATCATCGTTTTTTTAGTAAATTGGCACCCCCCAATGAAGCCACGTGGATAACTGTCAACCAATCTGGTCTCCAGCCGAAAACTACCCACTTGGCTGGCTTTTGGCCCGAACACGTGGCCCAGTTGTCCACGGGCCCTCTCTCTCACCACTGTTTTATTTCCCATGCAGATAGTTTAGGTGTACTCGAACTGCTAACGTGTGGTCTTGAACCTGCACTCGCAGTCACTCACTCTCACCCTTACGGGTGACACAAATCAATACGAATAATTATAAAATTAATATAATTATTATATATGTAATAAATAATTTAAATTAATATTAAATATTTAAAATGAACACGACACAACTAACAAAGGTATACACCCTACTCACCGCCACCTATTCTTTCCCTCTCTATCTCCACTTTCCCAGAAAGACAAAACTCAATTCAAACAAGGACAAGAAGACGCAACTAACAAAGGTATACACCCTACTCACCGCCACCTATTCTTTTCCTCTCTATCTCCACTTTCCCAGAAAGACAAAACTCAATACAAACAAGGACAAGAAGACATGGAAAATGGGATGAAGAAGCAACAGGGGTTTGGAACGAATGGCGAAGAGCCTGAAACGCCGACCAATATCACCATCAAAGGCATTCTGAGCTTGTTAATGGCCAGTATTGATGGGGAAGACAAGAAGCGTGTAATTTCTTTGGGTATGGGAGACCCAACTGCTTATTCATGCTTTCACACTACTGCTATTGCCGTAGATGCTGTTGTCGATACTCTTCGTTCTGATAAATTCAATGGCTATGCGCCCACCGTTGGTCTTCCCCAAACCAGAAAGTAATATTCTGTCTTCTCTATTTGTTTATATATCTGTATTGTTTTTATTTTATGAATTTTCCGTTTATGGTATCTTAGATTTTTGTAATTTAATGGTTCTGTGGTCTAGTTTAGCGTAATCGGAGGGTTCTGATCAAACAGTCTCTCTCAGTTTCATTTTTTTTTTTTCCTATTATCTTTAAATTTCTGGGGATATGGTGCTTTATCTATAACAATTCTTGTTCACTTTCAGGACACATTTTGCTCTGGTTAGACTTGTTAATCGAAACGTGTTACTCAGGCTCAGTTTGGATTGAACTCTACGCGAGCTTGAGTCAGTATCAGTTCATTTAAAAAAACGAGTTCTTGGCTTGAGTGTGCAAATATCAGTTCGTTTATAGTAAAATAGTTGAGCTACGGTTCATTTTTTAAATAAATTGAAGTTGAACAATTTTTTAAGCCGTTATGAAAAAATGAACTCGAGCTCCAGTTCTTATATTCAGACTTGGAATTAGTAAACAAGTTGTACTAAATGGGGTTGTTGGTTCAAAATCTATCTGTAATCTTGCAATTTTGGCTGTTTGCACTTTGCACAGATAGTAAATATGAAATACTTACTGGAGTGTCTAGTGTTCTGATATTGGTTTTATCTCAATTTTCACCCAATAAGAAATGCTTACTGGAGTGTCTACTGTGTATATGTATCCAGTACTATTTGATATTTGCAATCCTATATAGTTTATGTTTTTTTGACCCGATCAATTGAATTGCTAATGAAGTTTACAACAGCATAAAATAATACCCCAATTGAGAGCCGAAGAATGGGTTATAGTTGCCGTTGCTACCCAATGAGCTGCCTTGTTTTAGGCTCTTGATTGGATAAGATCTCAACATTACGTAAGCCTCCGATCAAAAAAATTATTACATTTTGTGTAATAAGATTTATGATTGCTACATCTTATTAATGTGCTGGCTTGTCTCCTTCTAGTTTCTTAACTTTTACAATGGCTTATTGAGAGTTGTGATTATTGTTTACAGTGGCTTATTGAGAGTTGTGACAAAAATTATGCAAGTATACGTATTTAGTTTGTTGTCGGGTCTGTAGTAATTTAGTTCTGTATTAATGTTCTTTGGTTGAAATGACAGTTGAAAGTGAATTCAAAATGCTGGTTTGCATTCCCCCACTGTTCTCTTTTTGGGAGGGGATGGTGTACAGTAATTACAATGTTCATATCGATGTTTATCACGCTCAAGAGTTGTCGTTTCAGAGCACTAATCTCAATTTCTGTAATTATGATTATTCTTTTGACAGGGCGCTTGCTGAATATTTGTCCCAAGATCTTCCATACAAGTTATCACCTGATGACGTGTATGTCACAGCCGGTTGCACACAAGCAATTGAAGTGACACTATCAATTCTAGCTCGGCCTGGTGCAAATATCTTAATTCCTCGACCAGCATTCCCAATCTATGGGCTTTGTGCTGCATTTAGACATATTGAAGTTCGACATTACGATCTCCTCCCAGAGAAGGGATGGGAGGTTGATTTCAAAGCTGTTGAAGCTCTTGCAGATTATAACACTGTTGCAATGGTAATTATAAACCCCGGGAATCCGTGTGGCAATGTCTATAGTTATCAACACCTCAAGGAGGTTAGTATAAGCCAGTTGTGCTTCTTTTAAGTGTTGACTTTGATTATTATTGAGTGTAATTAAAATGTTTGTGTAACGCAGTAGATTGCTGAAACTGCAAAGAGACTTAATATTCCTGTTATTGCTGATGAAGTTTATGGGCACCTGGCTTTCGGGGGTAAACCATTTGTGCAAATGGGAGTTTTTGGATCAATTGTCCCAGTTTTCACTCTTGGATCTTTATCAAAGAGATGGCTAGTGCCTGGTTGGCGGCTTGGTTGGTTTGCAACAAATGACCCAAATGGCATCTTCAAAAACCCCAAGGTTTACGAATATTGTTGCTTTTTAGCAGATACCATGATATACACATCACATGATTTGTCTTTTGATGTTAGCGTTTCTCGTAGCATCTAAATGCCAAGAGATGCAATTTTGTTCTGATACGCTGAACGATGTCAGTGAATATTTTTGTACCATTATCCTGATATTTAAGGCAAAGAAAGAGAAACAATATGATATCACTGAATTGATTGAAACAAAATGTGCGTTTGGCAATGTAAAATGTGGTCAGCTGCTTTTGTTTTTTAACAATGTAAAATGTTGTCAATTGCTTCTCAGTATACCTTGTCCACTTACTTCTTGATTTTCACCAATGCTAATCAATGTTTTATTTTACTCCTTTCAGATGGTTGAGCGCATTAAGAAGTACTGTGATATTTGTGGGGGTCCTGCAACCTTTATCCAGGTGTGTAGCTAAGTACTTTAACTCGTCTTAGAAATTCCTTGATCAGTATGTTCGCACTCCATTTTAATTAGCATTTAGAGAGTTTTAATCGCAAAATCACTCTACAATAAAAACCATAAGCAGCCAAGGATATAAGATAGCTGCATCAACTAACCTTTTCCATAATCAGCAATTATCCATAGGCTCAAAGACACCTTGTCAGTATAAAATGCACCGCTTCCAATTGCTGGCCTTACAATTATAAATCATTAGTCTTTTGGTAATAAGTTATTACTCTTATATGTACTAATTATTGCTGAAATTGTAAAATTGTGTTAACAGATTGTGTGCATGTCTCAGACCCATCAGCTTACATATGTCTCTCATTATTGTGTCTTTGGCGTTTAGGCAGCAGTTCCGCGAATTATTGAGCAAAGCGAAGAAGTTTTCTTCATGAGAACCATCAACATTCTGAAGCAGAGCTCAGAAATTTGTTGCAATAAGATAAAAGAGATCCCTTGCCTTACTTGCCCCCAAAAACCACAGGGATCCATGGCTGTAATGGTGAGGATTGAACACAATTCGCAGTCTCCCTGTGCATACAAATAATGGGTTTCAGAGAAAGTGCTGCTTCTTTGGTTAATTGTCTATTTTTTCCCCCAATGCAGGTGAAGCTGAACCTTTCCCTGCTGAAGGATATTAGTGATGATATTGACTTTTGTTTTAAGTTGGCCAAAGAGGAATCCGTGATCATCCTTCCAGGTGCAAATCAAGATACAATATGGCAAATAGTTTCACCTATAAATTCCCATTTCCTTATCAGCAAGTATACTTTGCTCCATACTTAGCCCACTGGCTTATATGTATGGCTGCTTTGCTTAACTTGTGGAATTAGATATTAAAAGAAAAGCTTTTTCCCACGTGGAACAAGAGATTCATCAATGATCAGTTGCATGTTACGCAATGACAAATTTTAATTGCTTGAAGGGGCACACTGTCATGATAACATCAGATAGTTGCTGTTGTGGCACTATGTCATGATCCGACATATGGCCTGCAGTTTGTTTGATATAATATGTCGATTCACCTTGAAGTTGATTTAAAAATCACCCCCAAGAAAATTGAGGGGTCAAGTTTGCAACGAGTCTGTACGGATTTCAAACAACTCTCGTATGACAGATACATTTGTTTTGCAGGACTTGCAGTGGGTCTGAAGAATTGGGTCCGCATCACTTTTGCTGTTGAGCCATCCTCTCTTGAAGAAGCTATGGCAAGAGTGAAGTCCTTCTATCAGAGGCACTCCATTTAACAAAACCAATACTGATGTTCCAAGTTGGCAATAAAGCAGGCGCAACCAGCACACACTGTAATTAATTACTCATTGCATCATAGGTTAAAAAAGCTCGATTGTACTAATTACCATTTAATCTGCGGATTACATTCAATAATTCACAATCTCTGTTAAACAAGGCAGTATTATACGAAAACTTCATTCCATATGTTATATAGATCATGGGATAGAAGTTTCTTGCTTATATAAGTTTGAAACATAGATATAAATTTCCTGATCATGTTGTAAGAGGGGCAGAATTCTAGAATCTCCTAAGCATTTTAGCAGCTGGTGCCTTGGTTTAATCTTCAGATTTGTGTTTGTTACCAGCAATAAATTTCTGTTAAAGTGCTGATCTTTTTACCAGAAATATTCCATTCCAACAAGATTGGGTTTTTTCTGTTCAAGTCTTGAAATTTTGTTTGAAAGTTGAGTGGCCGTTGGAACTTGTCTTATGTAGTGTTCTTGGCTCTGTGCAAATGAGACTCTTTACAGTTGGTTTTTGGCATGCTTCATTGAGGATACTCTGTTTTTGAACATAATTTCAAGAGCTCAAAGATTTTGGACTTTGAATGCATGCCAAGCATTCAAAGATTTTGGACTTTGAATGCATGTCTTATGTAGTGTTTTTAAATGTTTTGATTTTGAATTTTAATAATTTTTTAGATTAGATTATAAGGGATAAATTTTTTATGAATATCCTAATTTCGGTGTAGTTTACTTACCCTTTACCGAATTGAGGAAGAGATTAATTAAAATATATGTAAATTAGTTCGAATATTTTTTTAAAAAAATTAAAATAGAATAGTTTTAAATTTTTGGAAAGTAGCTGGAGTGATCATGGGTCCCTCCTCGCTAAAATACATCAAAGGGATGGAGTGATGTGACATGAAACTCCTTATTCAAATCGAAAACAGAAGGACATATAAGGGATTTTGGGGATACTGTCCCAAGGCGAAATTATGAATCTCTCTTCGACAAAGAGTTTGCAGATGGCATATATATATATATATATATATATATTAGTTATTGTCTATGTTTATGTCTGAAGACATAAAATAATAAAAAATAATTAATAATAAACATATTTATATTTATATCTAAAATCAAATCACAATATATAGAAGAAAAATAAATGAATTTAAGTATCGGTTGTAGTGGAGGGTAAGAACTGGTGGACGACAGTGATGATAGTAAGAGACAGTGATAGTTGTGGTGGATGGTAATAATTGTGGTAGCGATAGTGGTGATGGCAAAGGTGGTGGTGGTGGCGGTGATGGTGGTGGTGGTGGCGATGGTGATGGCGATGGTGGTGGTGGTGACAGTGATAGTGGTGGTGGCGATAGTGGTGGGAGTGATGGTGGTAGAGGTCGTGGTGGGACGGTTTCAAACACTATTTTTTTAAAAGTATTTATAATAAATAATTTCTAAAAGTACTTTTAAAAATTTATTCCAAACATACCTTTAGAGGTCTATTTTTTCTATTAAATTTATGATGTTAATATTAGCCGTTAGATTAACTTTAAAGTAAAATTTAGAGTAATTTCAATCACAAATAGCAAAAGTCATTTTGTTTCTATTTTGAGATTTGAATTATAAGTTATTTTATTATATATATATATATTCGCTTGCACATGATTAATTAATTTAATTAAATTATGGTTGTGACATGCACTTGGTCCATCATTCAGGGTCATTAACAAATACATTGGTGAGTTGAGTTCGTATTGAATTTTTACGGGTTTGTGTTAAATAGTTCTCTATTCATATTCGATTTGTTTATTAATTCGTATCTAACGAATCATGTTATATCGAACTCGTGTCGTTTATTAATTGTATATAATTAATATATAAATAAATCATGACGTGCATTTTTTTTAATTAATTTTATTTAATATAATTCGTTTATTAATGGTATCGTATCCGCTTCTTTACTAAACAAATAGCTTAAGAAATAACAAAATCCTTTATTTTTGTATCATATTAACAGATTATATTATATTTTGACGCAATATTGAAAGATATGAAACAATTAGACCACTGATCGGAAAGTGTAGAGGAACCAAAATTCCGAACAAGGAGTAGCAGACAAGAGTAAAGTCACGTGCTTTCTGTCTTGTTCAATTGTAAGACTGTCCAAAGCACAAAACACTCAATTACTCGCTACAAACTTTCACTATATAATATGATTCACTAATGTGGATCAAGAAGGTGACCGTTTTGTCTTTTATATTACCTCTTTCCCTCCATTTGTATCTCCACCATCTTCCCCTTCTCTTTCTCTCCAGTGAATAACTATCTTTTGCTCCATGGCAACCCCCAACTCTTCTTCACATCAGAAATCAGGTATTCTCTCTCACTCTCTCTGGCTCTCTTGGGTTTTGTTGGAATAACTGTTCTTATATGTTGAGAGTAATTTGTGATCTGGGTTTGATATTTGTTTTTGAAGATGCAACAGCAATGGATGCACCAGGGATCGATAATGGTGAAGAGTTTGGAGTTCACGTCTTCTCATCCTCATCAGAGGTAAATGTTTGAAGAACCCTTTTTGAGGTTTGATTTAAGAATTTTTTTTTTTGGATGTTGATGATATTGATTTGTCAAATGGATTGAAATAATTTGATGGTCAAATTTGTTGGATGATCATGCAAATTTCTGGAATAGACAGCACAAACCACTTCTTGTGGTGAATATAGGGTAAATTTTTGGGATTAATGATAAAAAGTTGTACCAATTGTTGTTTTGTCAATGAAGAATTTAAGTATCGTAGTAAGTAAACTTGCCAGTATTTATCAGGGTGCGTTGCGATTCAATCCAGTACTTCATGATCGAAACAGACCAGACCAAACCGTCAGCAAATTCTAAATGATCTGTGGCTTTGATGCATAGTAATATTCAGATAGTTGGTTCATACTTTCCTTATAATATATCATCGATAGATATAGAGTTAATGACAGGATCAAGAGAAGGATGATTCTAAGGATGTATTCAAAGAAACCTGATTTCTGAATTGGTGGCTATGACAGATATTTTATCCCCTGTAATATCAGTTGCATGATTCCAATTAGTGGGTAGTCATCATCTTTTGCATGATCACAGAAGATAACTCTCATCTAAACAATGGGAACATTATATGGTTTCCTTTGCTAGGACTACTTGTTGATTGGCTAAAGAGTGCTCCAATTCGAGTGCTAAAACTGCAACTCTTCCTGTTTTCATTTGTTACTCAACTTTGACTTCCTTTTCCCCCCTGTTTCAATGTATTGATCAGTTGCTTGAAAAGCTGCATGAAAAGTGGACTTCAGGGAAGGAACAGCCATACCCAGCAATGTATTCCAGTGTATTTGGGGGAATTATTCTTGATCCAGCAATGATGGTTATCCCGATAGATGATCATATGGTTCATCGAGGACATGGCGTGTTCGATACAGCTATTATTCTTGATGGGTAAGCAATGCATAGAAACTCTATTTGGAACATGTATTAAGACTTTTCCGTTGATGGATTGGAAAAGAATTTCTAAGGGTTAGGCATAAGAATCAGTTTTCCATTGTCCATTTGAGATGAACTGTGATATACACTAAATATAAGGAGGTCATACACTGTGCACAAGACTCATGCCTGTAGTGGAGTTTGGGAGGTAAGTTGTTGACAATCTTATCCTCATTTAGGTGAGGTTGATTCCTAAACTAGAATCTGTGATGCGTCATTTGTAAATTCAACACAGATTTTAGAATCTTTTCAAGTTGGGTGATTGCCATATCAAATACACAGGTGTTCCTTTCACTTACCTTTCTTATGTCTCGACTCATTGATGCTTTTGAGTAGTCTATCTTTTGAAGGGCAATTTATGCATAATCTACCAGGTGAATATTGGATATCAATTAGTTATACTCCAAAAGTTGCTTAAGGATTCAGAGGTAACTTGGGTATATGAGTTGGAGTCTGCCTAGGCTTACACTTAGTGCTAAGCTTTCTTGACTTTCCATCCTCCACTACTGCTATATTTTTTTGCTCTGTTTAGTTACAACTGAGTGTAAAGCCTGATAATTTCATTGTTTTACATAGATACCTCTACGAGCTGGATGTACACCTGGACCGTTTTCTTAGGTCAGCATCAAAAGCGAGAATATCATCTCCCTTTCCATGGGCAACCCTTCGAAGAATTCTTATTCAGCTTGCAGCAGCATCGCAGTGCAAGAAAGGAACATTAAGATACTGGTTGAGTGCAGGGCCTGGGGATTTCTTATTGTCTCCTGCTGGATGCCCAAAATCAGCATTCTATGCTGTCATGATCAATGAAGATTTCTTGCAATGCACAGAAGGGGTTAAAGTGATAACATCCACGATCCCCATGAAGTCACCTCTGTTTGCCACCGTGAAGAATGTAAATTACCTCCCGAATGTCCTCTCAAAAATGGAAGCTGAAGAACAGGGAGCATTTGCATCCATCTGGGTTGACGAGGAAGGTTATATTGCAGAAGGTCCGAATGTGAATGTGGCTTTTATAACCCATGACAAGGAGCTTGTTTTGCCTGTGTTTGATAAGATCCTTAGTGGATGCACTGCATTAAGGCTTCTTGAACTAGCACCCAAGTTGGTTGAGCAGGGACGTTTGAAAAGTGTGAGAACTGCCAATCTTACTGTGGAGGAAGCCAAAGGAGCAGCTGAAATGATGTATGTTGGAAGCACACTTCCAATATTGCCGATCATCACATGGGATGAAAAACCCATCGGAGATGGTAACCAATAGTCTCATCATCTAATATAAATTATGAGTGAAATCATGCCTTAATTTTTGCAGGCCCTAATAACTTTTGATCAAAAAGCCGACTGGCCATAGTTAATAAAGCACACCAACTTTAAAAGCTTAAACTATCTTTTTTCATAAAGATGTGGTCATGTAAAGGTCACATTTTCTTTAGACCAAAGAGGCTGAGGTTACTAGAAGAAGGCCAATTGTGTCTGAGAGTAGTGACCTTAGCCTACTATAAATTGTAGACCTGCAAGCTTCCACATTTGTGTTACATCATGACCATAACTTTGTGGTTAACCTTTGTAGGGGATTCTTGCATGTGTTTGCTCAACAAATTGTCTATGACCAATATCTCGATCATGTTATAAAGGGGTTGGTTATGTTGTTGTCTGTAACAGGAATGGTGGGAGAATTGACAATGGCACTGTCGGATCTGCTTTGGGACGATATGGTGGCAGGCCCCGAAACTCAAAGGTTAGCCATTCCTTATGCATGAGAAAGCCACGTTATCCAAATTGATGACTATGCGGAAAGAATGCACTGAATATCGTGAAAGATTGGTCATGGTTATCATTGTTGGGTACTTAAAGCAAATGCTCCCTTTGTTCTTGTATAATTGCTCAGTGATTTATGTTTGAATATCTGAATCTAGTCACGAATAAAATGTTCATCAAGCTTGGTTTGTGTGCGGCTGAGTACAGATTATGTACTTGCAAATTTGATTCACAGCTTAGCAAGGCTGTTTGGAAACTTACGTTTTTGAGTGATCAAACACTAAAATCTTTGCAAGCTCCTTGAATTAATATAATGTACTCTTTGTTGCATATCAAAGACTGATGGCAGGTTGTTCCTTCTATAGCTATGCACAGTATTGGATACTGCATGTGCAATGACCACCACTTGAATGGAGGTATAATGCTTTAACTTTAGAATTGATCATCCTAGTGTAAGTTGTGTGCAGTAATATAATACTCGGGAGTCCGAGGTAGAACCATAAAGAATTGAAAAAAAAAAACTTAGAACACCAAAAAAAATAAAAGAAAATTGTAGTAGAGATTTTGAAATTAAAAAAATAATAAATTTGGTTTTTAAAAATAATAATTGAAATACTAAAGTATCGAGAATATCATTTCAAATTCACACAGTAATTATTAATGATCCAGTTTTCAAACTCAATTGAGAATCAACTGAGGAGTGATCTCAGTCGGAATATTTAGCAGTGATAATATGAAAACGTTAAAATTTATAATTAATGAATTATTTAAATAAATATAAGAAATTTATTTGTAGATCACAAGCATTCATCGTGCCTGGAGTCTACGATAACAGATAAATCTTATTTTATTGAAAATAATAAATCAACTATCTTATGAGAAATTTTAATTAATTCAAGTATGGAATAACCAGTTATTTGACTCGCTGGGAATTTCAAGCATTTGGTGTACATGACACAACAAATCAAAAAATTATACAGAGCAAAAATTTTACTATAAGACAAGAATTAAATTAAAAAAATAAATCATACGTTAAAAAGAACATTGAATCCATAATAAATATCGTACTTCATTGAAAGTATTTTCCCTAACTTTAATTGGGCTTTTAGCAAGCCATACAACTAGAATAAAAATATGGGAAGAAAATAATAATAATTCTAATCATCCAAATCCTTCCTCTCAATAGATGAGAGCCTATATTTATACTAAAATAAATCCTAGATATAGATAGAAGATATAAGGTTTGATTGAGGTAAAATATATAAGGTTAGCTTCACAAAAATTCTTTTTCAAAAAGAAATCTTTTAAATCTCATGTATAAAATCTTGGGAGCTGCGGGTACATTTGAATTTTGCATATTTAGAAGCTGAATTATAATTTTTTTGTGAAATAACTTTTGTAGTCCTTAAAGTTTTCTTTCTAACCCCACAAAAATTAGGTCATCTGATATCGGAGTCAAAAGTTATGACAAAATACTGAAGACATGTCAAATTCTTATCTTTTAGAATACTTTTCTAATCCAACTTTAAATGAGTTTTCTTCCTATCTCAATCTTAACTTTTCGATCCTTATCAATTATGATTCTTCCTCTAGTAATTGTTTTACTTGTTTTATTCATTATTACTTTAAATCAACTAATTTATTTGTAAAATAAATTAAATAATTTAAAAAATTATCAAATTAGTAAATTAAAGAATTTAACACATTTAATCATAAATAATATACAATTAATTAATTATTAAATATAATAAAATAATAATTTTATTGATTAATTACACACTTCTGTGTAATCCAAAAGAGGTGGCTGAGTTAAAGCATAGGTCAAATTCTTCCCTCCTCACTGCCGTGATAAGATGGCTCAGCATCAACCCATGAGTGCTGTTCTTATGTCTATATCCAATGGACCTCAACACTCAAAAACTTTCTGATTTTGAAATGACATTCTGAGAAGAGGCCCAGATGACCAAATAGCACAAGTTTTTGCTATGCGCTTAAACCTAGATTCACCCCTTGGTATAAAAGTTACATATTATGTAAAAACTTGTATTTAATATTTATTTTGTTATTTTTAATTTAATATCAGGGTTGGTTTAATGATTGAACTTAGTTTTTGGTAACGCAAAAGTTTCAAGTTTAATTCATTCTCACACATCTAAAAGGTTAACCACCCTTGTTCTTATGTTCTAACTTAGCTTAAGCTATGATTATCGGTCGCTGAGTTTGAGGGTGTACTTGGTACAAATCTAGACACATTGTAACAAAAAAAATAAAAATAAATAAAATATACTATTACTCTAAACATAAATTTGTATCTTATCTCAACTTTAATCTAAACTTATTATCCAATCTCATTCTTTAGTTGTACCCGAACCAAACATGTCTCAATGGTATTATTGTCAGCACAAAAAATGAGGAGAACATAGTCTTTTTCCACTCCCAAGGACATAAGGTCTTCCCGCCTCATCTAAACGACCCTGACGGTTATTCTCTCTCTCTCTCTCTCCATATCAAAGCGTTAAGGTAGAATTGCTTCATTCCGGAAAGGGCTCTCCTTCGTCGTCGTATCGAAAGGTGCAGAGAGAGAAAGGGAGAGAATCAAAGAAACGACAATGGGGGATTGCAAACCATTAGGTTTCCTGATAGGCCTGCCTTTTGCTCTTCTTTCATTGGTTTTATCTCTTGTGGGCGCTGTTGTTTGGGCCATTGGGTTAGTTTTCTTCTTCTACCTTCCCTAATTTCTTTTCAGTATCCAAATTCCAATGCATGTGTCTATCAATATGCTCTTTTCCTTATTCCATATGTCTGTTTTTTCATGATTTGAGCTGTGTACATTATTTCATATTGTTTAAGAAACCTAATATACAATTTCTGGTAATGGATCAGCAGATCATTATGAAGAAAAACAACCACATTGTGGACAGCAAACTACATTGATAATTCGAATTATTATTCCTTTTTTTTTTTGTGGGGTGTAATATTCATTGCAACAATGATATCATATCAGCATTATCACGTGGAATCATCAATCAATATTATGCACATAAATAAGAAATTGTACCCCAACAAACCAATAACTACTCGTTCATGTAAATAGATAATTACACACTCTCCTTCTATGTAAGTCTATGACTACTCAAGTGAGATTCACTTTATTTATTTGGAGTTTTATTATTTGTTGGTGATATTATGTCATCAATACTGTCATGGTATCACCGTTGTATTGAATATTCTTTGGGGGGGGGGGAATTTGCTCCTAGCTATCCAAAATAAACTTCAGCCACGAATCAATCGATAGTTAGAATTTATTTATTCATCAATCAAAAACCTCACTTTTTTTAGAGTGAAATTAAGTCTTATTGTTCTTGAATCAAAGAGTTTATCTCCTTATTGTTTGAGGCGAATTTAAAAACTTTCCAAGTCGTGTAATCGTCAATTAATGACATTGATAATCAACCCAAAGAAATTTGATTCTAATTTCAGTCGTTATGAACTTATTATCGTATGTAGAAAGTTCATATTCATTTTATTACAAAATACTCCATACTGTTATACGATAAAGTATAGAGATTCCTAAATCACTAATTTAATTATGCAACCGTTTTCTTTCAAATATTAGTTTCCAATGTCCAATCCAACAATGCAAGCAGCCCCTTAGATAGGATTTGCCAAACATGATTGATGACTATCTATTGATTTTTCTATTCTCATGTGCATGCAGGTCTGTGTTGAGTTGCCTGAGCCCTTGCTGCATATGCTGCGCCGGCATTGCCAATTTAGCAATTAACCTTGTGAAGCTTCCTGTGGCGATAATTATTTGGTTTATAGATCTGATACCTTGCTGATATTATTACTTCTTCACATGTCGATCGGTACCACATTCTTGTCTTTGTGGGCACGCGCGCGGCGGCCATGCATGCAAGCTTGAACATGTTTGTGCTAACTCTTGCTGTTTTGATTCCGTCTGGTAGGCTTTGAGATTTCCATATTTTTTTACGCCGTCACTACATTGTATTTGATTTATTCGACTGATTACTAATCTATTCAAAGAATATTTCAGCTTATAACTACGATGGTGTGTGTTGTCCGCTTTTTTGTTTCACTAGTATTGTGAAAATGTTGTTATTCGGTAAACTAGAACATGTTAAATTCTCAGTCGATATGCGCAGTCATGATCATGTAAACAAGTTGTGTGAGCTTTGAAGTTAATCTATGTTACTTACAAGTCATTAGTGATGTGGGGGGTAGGGGGAGGGGTAGGGGTCAATATACTTGGTTACTCCATGCAATAGTATGGTAGTTGCCAAAGTGAATGCATACACACATATTCTAATATGTTTGCCATTAATTCTCCTATCAAACTTCTTGATTTTTGTCGTCTTGATTTGTTCATTGAAGATACAAATATATATAGTAATAACATAGCTAATAACTAAGGAGCATGAACAGAGACTACAAACCACCGACGTTACGTAAGCGTGGGGAAAGGCTGTATCCAACCAAATCGACCCATTTAATCTTTGATGGAACATAAGGATTAAAGTTTAAGTTTTGATAAGACAACATAAACATAATGATTTGGGCATCATAAATCTGACCAAGACATTCATGTTGCTTTCAAATTAAGGGGAAAGGATACGGTAACATGGCGGTACTGGTATCAAAATTTATAATTTTTTAATATAAGGTTATAATTTTTTTTGAAATATAAATTATAATTTTAAAAGATATGATCTATCATAAAAATTTGTTGGGATTAATACCTAAATTTCATGACCGATCATAGGTGTATGTGATCGATTATGATATTCCTTTTACCAATTGTAATTTTTTATTTAAAAATTATAACTTTTTCATAAAAAAATAATAATCAATGGAATTGGTACCAAATTTTTTTTTTAGTACAGTAGAGTTTCCCCTAATTAAGTATTGAGCCAAGATAAAACCCATTGGCCTATAAGTCATTAAACATTGAATTTAGAATCAGAAATAAGTGGTTTGAACTTTGATGTTGTTAGAATTGCAGCAAGTTGATAAGTTATAACCATGATTCCGAACCCTGATTTTCAAATTCTATGACTATATACACAGCTTCTACATTTTTTCAAGCTTTCAAAAGTCTAATCTTGAATTGATGCTTTAAAATTAAGGCACAAAAGTCAATCCACTACAAAAATCAAGACAGTTTGAAACAAGTTTTTAAAAACACAGGTGTTTGTCTTCACCAAAAATCAAATTTTGAAAAAAAAAAAATTATCATAAAAGAATTATTTGTTGCCATAAGTACTATTTGAGACGACCCGTTGTAATCATAAAGATATTTTGAGATTTTACTTATTATGGTGGTAAAATAGAGTCTCAAAAAGTCTTATAACGGCACCAAACCGTGTGGAATAATATTTGCGACAACATATAAATATATCGTGATAGCATTATCACAACAAAAATTTTTTCTCTTAAAAAACACGCCCTTTTTTTTGTGACGGTGAACACAGTTATCACAAAAAATTATCTCAAAAAGCTCAAATCCTTATCATGATCCCAACACAGAATCATACCAACCCCACAAAATTAATTTGAATGGTAGTGTTTTAGTGGTTATAATACAGAGAATCTTAAATTTAAGACTCGCAAGAGGTATCTTAGTTAACCCAACAAATGTTTTTGTATTTATGTAGAAAGAGACGTGTGATTGAGACGATCCTAAAAATGGTGAAAAAATGAATCCTTCCATGAAGCTTTCCCTAAACAGAATCGACTATACTTTACATTGTTTGTGTCTTTTACTTAAACAGATAATGCTATCTAATTTGCCAGTGTGTCCTTAAGCTGAGATAACTCCTTAACTAAGTAATAATGATCCTCAGGCCTACTAAAAGATCGGATATATATAAATTTTTGCTTTACGTTTTATCAACATATGAATAGCACAACACTAGTAGCTTTACCCAAGTTCATTATCCTTTGGAGCTTGTTTTGTAATGTTATTTTATGGAGATGATTGTTTTTAAGTTCTCCCAACCCATGAAGGATAACGTTAAAAACTAACCAAAAGTATTTGGAACTTGAAAGTGTAGGGCCAATCCCATGTGAACATCACATGCTCATTCATGAATATGAAAGTCACCCCCCCACCCCATCCCCTCTCTCTCCCCCTTTTTTCAGTTTGATGACAATGGTGTCCAAATTAATTTATATACACCCCCCCTGACTAATCTCCTCTTCGATTGGTCAGAAGAAGTCTATTTATCCCAAAATTAGGTTATTCATGATAAATAAATCTCTCATGAGTTGAGTTGTCAAGTTTCGAAAACATGATGTTTCTCTCCCTTCCCCTCCCTTTATATAACCTAAAGTTCAGACTCTAGAGCTCTCACAGTGCCCAAAGAAGTGGAATGCATATAATCCACCAAGATACTGCATACTCAAAACCTCAAATCCACCGGTTCAATCATCATCTCTCTCATAACTTTCTACAATCCGTATAAGCTGCAAACATGAATCTCTTGAATTCCCAATACCAAAAACACTACTCACCTAAAAGAGCCAAATCCAACAAAAAGAGGCTCACTCAGGATCAAGTAAGACTCCTAGAGGCAAGTTTCGATTCCAACAAGAAGCTTGAACCCGAGCGCAAATTTGTGCTTGCACGCGAACTAGGCATCCTTCCGAGACAAATTGCAATATGGTATCAGAACAAGAGAGCTCGGTGGAAGAATCAGAGCCTTGAGCTTGACTACAACATGCTCCAACTAAGGCTAGAATCTGCATTAGCTGAAAAAAGGCAGCTTGAGAGAGACATTGGGGTCGTTCGACAAGAGTTGCATAAGGCTCAAGAGATGTTTTTTGCTTTAAGCCAAGCACCTCCTTCTGTTTCTTCTTTCCCTAGCTGTTATGAGGAGGGAGGGAGCAATAGCTTGCAGAGATATAGTTTGCATGGTGATGTGAGTTGTTCTTGGGTGAATGATGAGGCTTTGCAACTTGAGGAGCTCTCTGCTTCTTGTTTCATGGGTGCACATGGATCCAACTGTGTTTAACTTGGGGAAAACCAGAATGTTTTGTGATGTTATATTTCTATTATTTTTTTTGGTAACAATAAGTGTTTTGGATTCAAAGTGGAAGTAAAAGTTATTGAAAAGTTACAAATTTCTGCACTTATTCACTAAAAGTTTTTGTTACTCAGTTTATAAAAACATGCAGGACTTCATAGAGATAAAACAATCATTGGTTTTTGTAACTTTTAAGAACAAGTCGTAGGGGGTCGAGGGATTTCCCATTTTCATGCTTATACTCTAATTCTAGCGAAGATGATCAATCTTTGGTATGATTGAGAAATAAGTTAATTAAAATACATATAAATTGACTTAAACAATCTTAACCGTTAAATCGAATAAAAAAAAAGATAGTTGAGATTGTATTTAAAATTATAACAACGCGGCTTCATAATATTTGCCTCAAAGCCCGCAATCCTTCACAAGTACCCTTTTTCACATCATTTTTTTTTTTTGGTTCTAGCAAGTCCAATTTTTCAATAACCAAGAACAATTACTCTCCCTTTGAACTCTTTGTTATAATAAAATTCGATATGCACATAGCTACTCACAAAATCACCTCAATTGAATCAATCACGACATCTCTTGTTAGGCACAAACTTAAAACTTAGAGATGACTACATATTTTGCCACCCAAAGTGCCTTGTTTAAGCAAAACGAGATCCTATCCAATATAATTTTTTTTTCTTGATAACCTATTATGAATTATTCAAGTAAAAACCCATTATACATAAGTGGGATTTGCCGAAAAAATATTGAAGAGATCCTTTAAGCTTGGCTTAAAGTTGGTCAATCATGTGTTCCCCTTGAGCATGAAATTTGCTCAATGTAACTGACTTTGGGAAAAGAGTATTGATATGTTTATTAAATTTTGCAGATCAAATAAAGAGTATTGCTATTAAAATTTAAAAAAAAATTAATTTAATTTATTGATATAATAATATGTCAAGTAATTTTATAATATAAAATAGATTAGGTTTCAATAAGTCCATTGTACAGTTTCAAATAGACTCATCCGACGACCACCAACATAATTCTAAAAATTATTCACATTACACTGTGCCTTCAGACACGAGTTACCTCTAATAGAGTTATAATAAAGAAATTCAAGGGTTATAATCATTACAATACTATTGGATCATGCTACTATTATATTATTAGATCAACCTTTTTAAGTCCCAATAATTACTCATCAAATAAGTGTAGGTGATTGAATTAATGGATTCCACCATGTCTCACTAAATATTTAATGCATAGAATTTTGGTACATTATTTAAAATATATATAAAACTTAGTAAATTTATATGGGGTGTATAATTTAAAAGAGTAATGCTATATAAATCTAAACATTTAATTTAATTTATTAACTTAATGATATGATTTTATTAAAAATATTAAATTTTAATATTTAATAAAATTCAGAATCAATTCAAGAATTATAATAAATTATATTGTTCCAATAGAATTACTCAATTTAAAATACAAGCTAGTATCATTTAGCATGCCAATTTTGCGCCGCCTGTGAAGGAATAAACTTCTAGAAAAAGAGAAAATGCATTGGTGTTGCTATTGGATGTCACAGAACATTAAATTTGGTCAATCACTCAGTACTCAAATGTTAGATGATAGGACTGCGGACAGGTTTTGATGGCGCTGTCCTCACAGGTCTGATGGCAAAACAAAAAATGTTTTAATTTTCGGAATAGCTTAAATAGTATTAAAAATGAGATATAAATTTAAATATTTTGAATTGTGGTTATTTTTTACTGTGATTGTTTTTATTCCTGATATGATATCTTAAAAAATAATATAAATAATTATTATAATAGTAATAAAAATATCTATAAATTTAATAAAAATAGTCCATAAAATTATAAATCACTTACAAAATAATAAATTTTTTTAGTTAGAAAATAATTCACAAAAATTAGAAAAGTATTTTTTAAAATAATAAATTTTAGAAATATAATATCAATTTTTTTTTTGTCGGTACCGTAGTGAAATATAAAGTTATGATATATTTGCTTGAATTTCAAAGTAAAGGATGCACGCGTTGCTTTAATGGGCCTAATTTAGTTGATCATTTTTAATATTATTAAAATAATTAGGGGTGAAGTCTATTCATTTCAAGGCAAGTACTCATTTATAAAAAGAAATGTATTGTTTCGAGGGATACTATCAATAGAAAAAAATACCAGTTGTGCTTTTATTTTTTACTACGGAATTTTGAGTATTGTATAATTTTTATTACAATTAGACTATCAAATTATTTTCTCATAAACAAAAATTTTCAATTGAATTTGTCAAAATATTATATTTTGTAGGATTCAATAAATTTAAGACACGTGTCCACACTAAAAAAAAAAAAAAAAAGGACAAATGATAAGCTTAAAGGAGAGTAATCAACCAACAAGACCTATCGGAGCCAATAGAGTCCTGAAGAATTGATACAAGCAACAGTGTTGCGGCAGACACTATGCCATAGGAAGCACCAAAGATTGAGGAAAGGCCGGCAACATCCTCGTCACATTACAAATGGCAAAGTAAATCCTTGCTCAAGAAAGGACAAGAGCGACACTACAAAAGTGTGAGGACAAGTTCGGCATGATTCGCTTTTCCTGCTGCAAAAATAAGACACAAAATTGAGATTTCATAGTTAAGAGAGTTTGTATACCTATCCTATTCTCGACGAATATCCTTAGGTTGGGACTCCTAGAGAGAACCTGGAACCTATTGGATCTAATGATATACCGCCCCTTGATTGATCCAATTGACTAAGAGGGAGGGTTCTTCACCTAAGGACATGATAGTATGATCTTATTCAAGGGAGAACCGAGAAAACAAGCATGATTATAATCTCGATCTCGAGCAAGATTTTGAAAGATTAGTCAGCTCGAACAAGCTCTCAATGTATAGTCACTAAGGGGCACTGTAGACATAACCTCTTGTGGGCATGGTTTTGCAATGACCAATCGTGACCCTTGGCCTTAGGAGTTTCCTTTTACCTCGACTGTCGTACTCTTGTTCAATAGTTGAGTCTAAACTGCGTTCAAGGAAATATCACATTTATCTAATTAATGTTAGAATATGTAACTCGCGATGAACGATCATCAATATCACTATTGTCGACGAAGTTACTGGTAGGACACAAGTGCCAGTACAACACTAACCTTCGTACAAAAGAAAGGCCTTGGCCTGCTCGAATACTATACAATAAATAATTTTATCACTTGTTTCTATGGGTGCACACTTTTATTTGATTTGAGATCAAACATCTCAGCTAATAAGAATATTTAACCTTTCCACTTACATAATAAACTTTTTGCCCGCTAGTTGATCCTAATAGTTAATATATGACTCGAGTCCTTTCATTGTATTCTTATATTCTATTAATCTCTTATAATACATTGACGTGTATAAATCTCTTTTAACTCGCTCTCTTGCGTGTTTAATGTAGCCATTACTCATTGGAAAATGAATTGTTTCCAAACAAGAATTATTTCCAAACTCTTGATGTGTTTGGTTTGGATGAAGGGGACGGAACATAATGAAAAATTTAAAAGAAAAAAGAAAAAAAAGTAGGAAAAACTGATCGGTTACTGTAGGAATTTGAAGTTTATCTCATTAACAAGATAAAAATAAAAAATTGTAATAAGGTGAAAAATATTTTTTATTGTCCAGAGGCAAGGAAAATACAATTTTTGTTTTCTTGCAAGGAGGAGGAGAATCGATGAATGTTGATTTCTAGGGTTTCTTCACTTCGCCAGAGTAGTTTTCTATCTTCTTTGATTAACTACTCAATGAGTCAATGTCTTCTGTCACTGTCTCTCTCTCTCTTCGTCCAGACTGTAGTAGGGTTCAGCCTCTCGGCGGCTTTCTCTACCCAAAAATCAACTTCTTCTTCGGTTGAATCTATATCATTGAAGATGGGCCATCGTTGGAAGCTAATGAGTTTGTGTTACACCCAAGGCAAGCGCACTAAGGTAAGCTCCTCTACCTCAACTAGCTCGATTCAACTCAATTCATACATGATTATACACACACAGACAGACACATTGCACCGCCGTCAAGTTATTTGCGTTGGGTGCTAATTGAACTGGGTCCTCGATTAAATTTTATATGGTTGCGGTAGTTGGATTTTTAGGTTTATTGTATGCTATACGTTCATACTTTTTGATTGTCAGGCATTAATTTGTGATCGTTTGGAGGAAAACCCAATTAAACTACTGTGGTCTTCAATTCCAATTCCAGGCCATGAATTCCATCACCCAAACCAGGCAAAAGAATCAAGTCTATTAATTGATTAGGGTATAATATTTTCTTGGGAAATTTGGGGGCTGGTCTCATTTGTGGACTTATTCGGTGATAACTCCATCAAGAAAATTTGTTTAATGCTAAGGGTGTGTTTGTTAACCCAAATTCAGCACTTAAAATGAATGTATTCAACACTTATTAATTAAGTCCGTTTAATAACTAAAATTTAAACTTTTTTAATATGTTAAGTGCTCTTTAAAAATAGGTTACAATATTAACTAGGCGATTCCTTACTTAATTTTGAAAGTTTTTTGAAAACGCTTAACAAAATCATCTTTAATAATATTTACAATATGACAATTATACCTTGAAATATTTTTCAATCCTATTAAAACTCTAATTAGTTTTCTCTCCAAACCCTAATCTATATATTCTCTTTGTCGATCTTTTTTTTTTTTTTTTCCTTTCCTTTGACTTCTGTAACAAAAATATACATACATAATTATAATTACATAAACAAACACACGCACTGCACACACACAATCACACACATACATATGCACTGCACACACATATACTTACATACACGGACTGCACACACACATATTGTTAATGAAATTTAATTTATTGTATTTTTTTAATATTATTTGATTATTTATTAGTTATTGTTCTTTTTTTTATCAAATGTTATTGTTTACTTATTATGTTATTCAATTTATTATTGTTCACTTATTATTTTATTCATATGTTATTTATTTATTTATTTTGATCAAATATTTATTAAATGCAGACTACAATATAATAATAGTGATTATGATTTATGTTATGACATATTTTATAAATATTTTCAAATTAAAGAGTTGAAGGATAAAACTGAAAATTAATTTATTTTCAGACGTCAGCTCTGTGTAATTATCAAACAGTTTAGTTCATTTCAGTACTTAAATTTCATTGAATACCAAACAGTCCATAAATTCAGCATTCAGCTTTCAGACTTTAGTTTTTAGTTTTATCAAACACCACCTAAGTCTATTTTGATCGGTATTGTCCAAAATACCCTCAGTAGTTATATTTAATTAAGACAAATTTGAAAACAAATAATTCCTAAATTTTATAAGTTTGACTAATATTAAAATTCTCTCTCTCATATATATATGTATATATATGAGAGAGAGAAATAAACATTCATATTCTATATATATATATATATAACAATAAAAACAAAAAACAGTAATATTCAAACACACAAAAAAAAAATAGTAACATTTGAAAACAAAAATAATAACATCGAATATTAATATTTGAAAAAATAACAGTAATAAAATACTAAATTAAAATAGTAACATATTCAACAAAAACAGTAAAATGAACAGTAATATTCTTAACAAAAAAAATAGTAATATGGAATATTCAAATCCAAAGAATAGTAATATTAAAAAAAATAGTAACATATAATCAGTACCAATAATTCAATCATGGTTAGTTACCAAATTAATTACCTTTCAAGTATTGCTAGTTCAAACACACACTACTACTCAGAGAGCAGCCTAGGTCCCAAAAAAAAACCAAACACCAATAAAAATAAAATGAAAATCTTCAATTTATACATATGTAAAAAATTGTTTTTCGAACTTGGCTTGAATTTGAATCAAGAACTGAATCAAAAGTAAAAATTCCATCCCCGACCGACACTGAATCATCAGAAACCTTCCTGACCTTCGAATGTTGACTTTCATGACCATTACCTGGTTTGATCCTTACCAGAACCTATCCAACCAAAAAAGGTCATACAGGCTTATGATTTGAACGAACACAGATGAGAGAGGGTTTCTCCCGTAAGATAAGACTCCGGAATGCCCATTGCAGTTTTAGATGAATGCGGAAGAGTCACCGGAACTGGAGTTTCAGACGAGCTGTGCCTTTCCGTGGGTGTGGGACTTGAAGACATAGCCAGTTCCTTTGTGAAGGGGGCGTTCGTTGGCTAGAGGGAGAGAGAGGTCTTTGAATTTGAATTTTAAATTTATGATGGAGATTTATTTGTATATATCCATTGACATTGAATTAAGAGATAATAATTTCCAACATAGAAAATTAATTTAAGTTGTTTTCAAAGAAGGGTATTTTGGAGTTTTAAAAAAATAGTGGACTTAACTACTTATTAGTAATTCTCAAATAAGTTTCCTTGATGGACTAAACTCATTATAAACCCTTTAAGGAGGATTCAATCCCAATTTTCACAATTTTTTTTGACTACTCTAAGAGAGTCAAACCCAACTGCAGTGCAATTATGGGATATGGTTTTGAGAAAATTGAACAAGTTTTGTTATCTTGGCACTTAGTTTGACACCTACTAATTATTTTTTGATTATTCTAAAAAAAATACTTTTAGAGACGTCTATTTGTAATCTTATATGGTAACCAGAAAGAGAAGTAAATGTTCTAAGAGCAATTCCAATCCACTATGTATTTCCCAATTTTTAGCTATTTTATCTAGTCAAACACCAAAAATCCTCACCAACCTGCTCTCTATTTCCCATTTCACCTTTTTGGCTCTCCAAATTTGGAGAGTTATTCAGCTTCGCCAAAACAATATATGCTGCAATCCCCCATGCTTTTGCGAAACCCCCGTCCCCCTCCCCCATGCCAAGAACTCTATTGGGTTGAATTGATTAAAATTTTTGGTTAAATTGAATTTTGGGTTAAAAATGACCGTTTAAAATATGGGGATGACGTGGTAGGCTACGTGGTATTTTTTGATTTAAATTATTGAAAGTTAGTTGAAGTAGTTAGCTAAAATAGAGAACGTGGTTGGAGTGAATTTGTAAAAGTGACTTTCTAAAATAGAGAGTGTAATATTTAAATATATTTTGAGTAGCTAAAATAGAGAGTTGGGTTGGAGTTGCACTATCCAAGTGTATTGTGTAATTCTTTTACTGTGACAAAGCACTGGTACATGACAATGGTACACAATAACCACACGGCCTTCATTACGAACCTCGGAACTTCACTCAGACACCTTTATACCCAGACAGAGCAAGCTTGAATTTGGTTAATTTTGGGTCTGAGTCTTGGTGCAAGACCTTGAGTGGCCAGTGTGTATGTACTGTACACAAAAGTTCGGGTGACAGTGTCTCGTTGAGAAATAGTTTTCTTGATTTGTTTGGGTGCTTCTGTGCATTGATTATTCGAATCCACATGGAAAATAAGCATTTACTTCTGCTTCACATGCTTGCATATGCAGCTTTAAAAATTATGGTTTTTGAGGGTGGATCTCAGCTGGTGTCCTTGACAGCACTATGGGTCCAAAGTTTTTATGCCATCCACATTCTGGTAATAAATAACTATGGACCATATTTTGCTTACATTCTATTGGAATTCTGTATTGATGTTAATTGTAATGCACAACTCAAAGGTTGTAGTTCTCACTACAGTTTGCCTTTGCACAGATGGATGATACAAACCACAAAGAGATTCAGTGAGGTCTGCTCCTGATTAAGTGCTGATGAGTTCAAAAAATATGCGCTCTCAAGTCTCGACAGCTAGATCACTTTCTTGTGCTTGATTTTGAGGGAAAAGCAGGTTGAGTTTCCTATTCTGATGGCTGATGCCAGAGCCAGAGACATGGATGTCGTGGATTTGTTCCACAGGTTCTGCTAATGTATATTTATGTTGCGTACAATATGGATTTGGCTAATATTACTGTCTGTTGTAATAAATTTTGTTCATTTTTCCCAAGTGTTGAATATGGCTTTTACTTCACTTGGTCTTTCTTCACGTACAACTGACTTTGGAAAAATGAAAATCAGATCTGTAACCGTAACAAGTGAACATAACATGTCGGGAGGACATGAGATTGTATTGAAGTATATGTGTAGACTGTAACTTCATAGGAAGACTGGAAGAGGATGGTTACATGTGTTGCTTCATGTAATGCTGTAATTTAAACTTTGCTAATGACAAGTTTTAGGAGAAATCCTCATATTTGTGCCTCAACACTTTCCAGACTCCTAAAAGTTGCCTTGTTGAATATGCTTGGTGGACAGTCTTTACTGCCGTTGTCTTCATTAGCATCCAGTAAAATTATTTTTTGGAAATTTAACCAGAGGGATTATTTGGCTTTTGCTGTAGATGGATTTTCATTTTGTACAATTATAACCCTGTTACCGGATGGTTTTTTTTTTGCCTATATATGTTTGGACGAATGATCTGTATCTATAACTATGATTTTCAGTCACTTTTATTAGTATTTTTCTCCTCTTCTTTTCCATTTTTGTTTTACAGGTTTGTGAGGCCCTCAGCAATGACTGAACAAATAATAAATGAATATATTTATGAAAAATATGGAAAATCAGAGTTCATTTCCTCTTCCTTTGCTATCTTTCACACATTGCCCTTGGGGGTTTGCTGATGCTATTTTGATATATTGACACCATGTGGTCAAAATTCTTAGCCTATGGAGATTGTTCTGAATAAGTTCCTGCAACTATACTGTGATATTCATGAAGATCCAAAAACTGTTTATGCATATATGGTGCTAGGCGATGTAAGGCCTGTACATTTCCTGTGTCTGGCATGATACAGCTATCCTATTTAAGGAAGTCATTCAGTAATTTGAAGCTTGGATGGCTGGATATCTGTTGTGGAGAGAGGAGCTCAATGTGCATCAGTTGCAACTTGGTGAGTTGACAATTTTGGAGAGCTAATAATGTTAGAATAATTTGATTTAACCTTTCAAATGACACTAATCCCCTGAAGGCCGAGCTTCAAATTTGATTACACATGAATTTGACAATTGCTACATTAAGGCTAATACCAGATTAGGGGACATTTGGGTGTCCCTCTCAGACATTATATATTTGAAAATGATTAGGCCCTTGGAGTGGAGCCATAACATAAAATTGGACCATCAACAATCCAGTTGATAAGCTTAAAAAGAGAACTGAAAAAATCCCAACTAGTACAGGATATTATGATGGTTATAAATTTCATTTATATTTTGTTATCTCTTTAAATTTTCTGTATTCACTACATTCTGTATGCATTCAATTTATGTTGGACAAAAGGTTAATATCCCATAGGATGTTGGATGGAAAAATAGTAAACACTGGGCCTGCTAAAATTGAATGCTAGTTCCAGATTGGTTTGAGATATTCAATGAATGGAAAGCAAAACAAGTGCTCAGAACTTTGTTTGCTGACATATACTTGGTTTACATGGACTAGCAATTTGAAGAGAAAAGTCCCTCAGAAACATCAAGTATCAAGAATGAAGCTTCCCTCTTATTTCATAGAATGGATATCAAATTGAAGGGCATCTATCCAAACTTCTACCAGAGGAGGTGAGTACTCTGGAACATTTAATTTCAGGTTTCGGATGAATGATTGCATATTTCTCTTCCTTGGTTTCGTATTATGTGGATTCTTGTATGACCCTGTTGTTTAAGTTGAGTGTCAGTAACATGAAGCAGAAACTGTATCATTAGAGCATAAAACTGAAACCTCAATGAATGTAACCATTGAAGTGATATCCATACAATTCCATACTTTTTCAACTCAAGACCTTGCTGTCCAATTTGATCTTGAGATGGATTGGGTTCCCTTGTGAATGAAGTATCTCTACCTTTTGGTCAGTGAGGATGCAGTTGATGAATTATTTCTTTCGTGTCTGGTTATTCAGTTGGCCACCCAAATGTTCAGGTTGGGACGTCGGTTTCCCATTTTGCCCGGACCAAATTACAGTCCTGGTTCGTTAGTTTCTAGTTTCAGTTCCTCTTTTCAAGTTGTTGCTGAAGTTTTTTTTTGGGTTTTGTTAAATCCAGGCCACAGGAATGCTCACAATGATGAATGAACTTTTCAGATGCCATTGATAAGAAGTCACCTTCTTGGAATTGATGACACAAAAAACATATCAGGAGTGTTGTAGCACGGGCTCACTGATAGTGCATGCTCTTCTGCAGATTACTGCAAGGAGAAACCCTAATTCTCCTGAAAAGGTCAAATTAGCTGTTCTTCTGTTAATTGTTGGTTCTGTATATTGATTCGACATCTAATTTTGAAGGCAATCATTAGGTAGTTATATTTTTTAGTTCTCTCTCTCTCTCTCTCTCTCTCGTGCGCGTGTGGTGCCTTTCCTTTGTTATTTATTCCTATGGTAAATGGTATTTCCTTCGCTTACAACGTTCCTGAATCGAGTTAAATTCTTACCAAATTGTGTTTTAAAAGCATATTAATCCACATAACTTTATGTCTATAAGATAAAACTAGATACATTAGATATTATCATGATTTTAGACGAAACACTCACTAATTAGATTGTCCTAAAACATGTCATTTGTTTGAATTAGTGCTTATAAAATATCTAAAATAATCCGTATGATAAGTATAGTGATGTGAGATTTGGATTTGAGACGAACTTTAGATTCGAATGTCTTGGGTTCAATTTTCGTTCGTGACTCTTGAATTTTTTTGACATATATATAACTTATAGGTGATTACAAGTATTCAAGATTTATTTTGTATGAATATATCTAATGTACTTTCGAATAAGTTTTACATTAGAAATGACGAAAAAAATCTTTTAAATATTTTTCAACAAGTGGCCCACATAGAGATCTTATTAAATAGATATTTGATTTGGAGCCGTTGTCATTCCTTGAAGCACTTTGAATGCCCAAACACCCATTTTCCCTTGTCGACTTGTACATGCATATGCTGCTACATTTGAAGCTCACATCAATACATACACATATATTTGGCGGTAACCTTTTTTGGTGGGAAAATGAAACAAAATCTACAATTTACTCAACATTCCCCCAATCACATCCCAACCACGTGTCCGCAAACTATATCATCAACGTATCAAAATTAGCCACGTAAGCCACTAAACACAGGCCCCGCTTTTGTAATCCTTTCGATTGGAGCGTTTAGCACACGCTAATTTCCTGCGCTTGGCAATGTATACTAAATATCACTTGAGAATCCCTTCTCTCTACACCTCCACCCTAGTCGTCTTAAGAGCATTATATAACAGCGAGAGAGTGAAAAACAGAGAGCATCAGGAGAGAGAGAGAGAGAAAGAAAAGCTCAACAAAGCAAAAGCCCAAACCTCAATCTTCACGGAACCAGAAGACTTGAAGCCCAAAACAACGACAGTGGTATATATATAAGCAGATATATATATTGTTCATCGATGATTTCTAGGGTTTCTTTTTCTCGTTCCTCTTCAATCCATATTGTTATCTGATCAATGAATCAAGCAGTTCACAAGGTCAGTGACTCCTTATTCTCTCTAATTTATGTTTTCCGGACATCCAATTGAATAAACGACAAGATTATTCACCACCCGTTTCGTGTGTGTATGTATAGATTTTATAAGAGAAATCCGTGTATTGAGATATTTATACAGACATAGCTGGTTCTTGTCATGCGATTGTCTCGGTCAGCTTCGATTGCGAAGAGAAGGAAGGATCAGAAATTGGGTAATTGTAGGGCTAGGAAAAAGCACAAGAGGCTCGACGCAATTTGTGAAAAGGCGTATAATCGGAACCATGGTGGCGTTAAAGCCGAATCAAGTGAGGGTAATGCTGAAACTGGATTGGTGGGGAGTGAATTGGAGCTGCGTCGGAGCACTAGGGTTCGGAAGGCTCCGGTGGTGCTCGATGCATCGCCCCCGCTGCCAAAGAAGCGGCAGAAAATTGATAAGAATAGGGGATTTGATTCGTCTGGGAGCGTTAAGATGGAAGATGAGGTGAAGAGTGAGCCTCCTTGTTCCACTTCGGGGGGTTTGGAGCAGGAATTGGATAGTTGGAAGTCCAGGTTGAGATCAAGGGCTAGAAACGCGAGTTTTCGTGGGAGGGAAAAAGGGGAGTATTTGCTGAGAGGGAAAAGAAAACTATTTATGGATTTTGATGGGGTTGTGGAAGAACCCAAGTTAAAGGTTGTAGAGTTGAATCAGGAGGAGGAGGGGCTCGAAGTTGGGAAGTCGACCGTTGTTAAGTCGAAGAGGCCAGGTAGAATTAAAGCTTCAAATGTTTTGAGGACTGAGGATCAAGGGATTGGGTTAGGTGGTGTCAAAGAGGATAGCAGAGAGATGAATAAAGGGGAGGTGCTAGTAGTGACTGATGGGTCATGCATAAATAATGAAATGGAATGTGGAAATGATGGGGAAGTAAAAGATGACAATGCTGCTCCACAATCGATTGAGAATGAGGAGAGCAAAGTTCAGAATGGTTTACAGCTCGAAGAGTGCCGAGACGAAGACAACTTGGTATTCATGGAACAAAATAAACAGGTGGAACAATCAGATTGTTTGAAGGAGGGAGAGAACCAAGGGGATGCTGGAGAGCTTGGCAGGGTTTCTAGTGATCAAGTGGAAGATGGTGGATGTCATAATAAACAGTTGGGTGATGAGAATCCCAAGAAGGTGGGCGAGACTTCTTGTGCTCTAACTTATGAATTTAACAAGCCTCGTATAAAAGAGGGAAGAAGATGTGGTTTGTGTGGGGGAGGGACAGATGGCAAACCTCCAAAAACATTAGTGCATTATGGTGCTGGGAGTGAGAATGAGGCATATAGTGGATCTTCTGCGTCTGAGGAGCCTAACTATGACATTTGGGATGGATTCGGCGATGAACCTGGCTGGCTTGGACGCCTATTGGGTCCCGTAAATGATCGTTTTGGAATTGCTGGAATCTGGGTGCATCAACACTGTGCTGTCTGGAGTCCAGAGGTATTGTTTTCTTACAATGCCTTCTTTTCCTTTACTTTTTTCGCCATGCTGATTGGTAGAAATATGCTTTATTGATCATGCACATATATTTTTTGCTTCCCTTTGATTCTGTATTTTGTATATAAATACACAGTAGCTGATGACTCTCTCACATAGCTTTATCCCTTGTGATACCTCATTTTTAAGTGCACAGTGTAATTCATCTCTTTATTTGTTACTTGAATAATCAACTTGGTGAAATTAATGTTGTTTCTTTGAATCCCTTTATCTTAGATTCTATAACTGCTTCCTTGATGGGAACCTTAGGCACCTGTGGGCTTATAACTTGTATCTTGCTCGTATTTGGATTGTTCAGGATGTTTCTGAAGTTTGAGCACAACCCAAAAGTTTATCTGCCGCCTTTGGATTTGCCCTTGTGTATTCGAGGGCCTTCACTTTTTTGCTTGCGTTAGCCTTATTCTTCGCCTCTTATCGAGTTTCATATCTGGCAATGATGTGTGCTATTTGCAGAATACTGTGACCATGGTCCATTCGTGAGCAATGAGTAGTTATGTACGATTGTGTTATCTTCCTTGGGTGAGGTGATGGGCATGGCTGGCAACATGATTTTGCTCATCATCCTGCATGGCAATTAAGTGCTACCTGATTTTTAGCAAATTAATGGAGCTATTGCTAAAATTTTGAGAGCTACTACAGCTGAGAGTAGATTTGGATTTCCTTGAGTAAACTATGCAAGTGGGGATGTCTTGGGAAATGGATACCACCTTGCAAGTTTCCAGTATTCTTTTTATAAGATACGGCCTTATTTTTGCAAATTCTTTGCTAATTCTCTTCGCAGACTGTTTTTCCAGGTAGGGGTGGGTGGTTTTCTGATTTCTCTCTAGCATAGCCTACTTCTGTCCCTAGATACCTTATCCATTAGTGTCATCAGCACTGTCAGGATGTACTAAAGTCTTTATTACCATGTAAGCCACCACTATTGTGGCTCATTCGCATTTATGACTAGCTGCATTCATGTTGGGGACCGCACACCCCTCCATTTATTTTCTACAGGAATAGGATCTTGGTTAAAGTTTGTTGATCTGATTTATATTTAGTCTTTTGATAATATGTATGGGATTTGATGATGCAGGTCCTCTGTAAAGTGTGAATTTCACAAGCATAAGTATCCAGGAGAGAACAAACATTTTGATCCCAGTTTAAATTAAGCTCATTCCCTATTTAGGCTTTAGATTTCTTAGCTATCTTACTGGCCAGAATTCTACCTCCAAAAAATATTGATTCTATTTCTTCCTTAATTGATTGTAATAGTCTAGGAGTCTTGGTCATCAGTGCCTCTGTGAGTAGAATTGCAGTGCTTTTATCTCCCAATTCTATGTGTCTTAAATCCGATTAGACTTTTTAAATTGATATTTGTTCTTCCCTCTTTTTTTCCATCTATTTAAGCAAAAGAGAGCAGCTTCGTATTGTTGTTTTTGTTTTCCTTGAAACTGAATCCGTATGAGCTTGTAATTGCACTTCATTTGTACCCGGTGGGATCGTGTGTGTGTTCTATCTGAGTTGGTTTCCTTAGTTCTAGGATTATTCAGTACTTTTTTAGTTATGTTTACTGATATTGCATATTTGAAATATTATACCATCTCAAGTCTTGCTTTATAATGTAACCTGTTTGTAGGAAGTAAGCAACAAATCTTAATTGCTTGACTTTTGACACCTTTGATCCATATCTGCTAAACCTACTTTTCAGCCTTTTTTAAGTCTAATTCCTGATTGTTTCACTACTGGAATTTTGATCCTTTCATCCTTTATCTTTAAATTAACTATTGTGTTCCAATATATTTCATTTTTTCCAAAATTTTCCAGGTTTATTTTGCTGGTTTGGGATGCTTAAAAAATGTTAGGGCAGCACTGTGCAGAGGAAGGGTATTGAAATGCACTCGTTGTGGGAGGCCAGGGGCGACCATTGGATGTCGTGTTGACCGATGTCCAAAAACTTACCACTTGGTTAGTTTCTTATTGATATTTCTTCTATAAGCTAATATCTTCCTCGCTGCCTCCATCTCTTCATCATTCTTCTTTCTTTTCTTTCTTGATTTTGCTGTAATCCAGTGTATTATTGACTCCCAAATAAACTTTATTATTTGCTTATTGCTTTATATTTTGCATCCTTTGATTTTGCAGCCTTGTGCACGAGCTAATGGTTGTATTTTTGATCATCGCAAATTTCTGATAGCCTGCACAGATCACCGGCATCTCTTCCAACCTTATGGCCCTCAGAGTGTGTACCGGTTAAAGAAAATAAAAGCTAAGAAAATAAAATTGGGGATGAGAAAGCTGTCAAATGATGCCTGGAGGAAGGACCATGAAGCAGAAGAAAAATGGTTAGAGAACTGTGGGGAAGACGAAGAATTTTTAAAGCGGGAGAGCAAGAGGCTCCATCGAGATTTGTTGAGGATTGCACCTGTATATATTGGTGGCTCAAACATGGAAAGCAAAATGCAATTTCAGGGTTGGGAATCCGTTGCTGGGCTTCAAGGTGTCATCCAATGCTTGAAGGAGGTTGCCATTATACCTCTATTATATCCTGAATTTTACAATAATCTGGGGCTTACGCCTCCTAGGGGAGTTCTGTTACATGGACATCCTGGTACAGGAAAAACTTTGGTAGTGCGTGCACTAATCGGTTCATGTGCTCGTGGTGATAAACAGATAGCCTACTTTGCTCGCAAAGGTGCAGATTGTTTAGGAAAATATGTTGGTGATGCTGAGCGCCAGCTGAGACTTTTGTTTCAGGTTGCTGAGAAAGCTCAACCATCTATAATATTCTTCGATGAGATAGATGGGTTAGCACCTTGTCGCACTAGGCAGCAAGATCAGACGCACAGTTCAGTTGTGTCCACATTGCTTGCTCTAATGGATGGTTTAAAATCTCGAGGTTCAGTTGTAGTAATTGGGGCTACGAATCGTCCTGATGCTGTTGATCCAGCTTTAAGACGGCCTGGGAGATTTGATAGAGAAATTTATTTTCCACTGCCTTCGGTTAAAGATAGAGAAGCTATCCTCTTGCTTCATACACAGAAGTGGCCGAAGCCTGTTAGTGGATCATTGCTCAAGTGGATTGCCAGGAGAACTGTAGGATTTGCTGGTGCTGATCTGCAGGCTCTTTGTACTCAAGCTGCAATTATTGCTCTAAAGAGAAGCTGCCCCTTGCAGAAACTTCTGTCCACATCTGGAGAGGAAGCTCCTCATGGTAAACGCCCTCCCCTTCCCACTTCTACCGTGGAGGAGAGGGACTGGTTGGAGGCACTTTCTTGCATGCCACCTCCATGCTCTCGAAGAGAAGCTGGAATGGCTGCAAATGATGTGGTGGCGTCACCTCTTCAAGACCATCTTTTGCCTTGTCTGCTGCAACCACTTTCCAGATTGCTTGTGTCCTTTCACCTAGATGAGCGTGTCTGGGTGCCGCCTCCTCTTTCTAAAGCTGCTGCATTAGTAAAAAACATCATTATGTCTGCTTTAGATAAGAAGAAGGTGCGAAGTGATTGTTGGTGGTCCCATGTTCATGATTTGCTTCAAGAAGCAGATGTTGCAAGTGAGATCCAGAGTAATCTTTCACATGCCCATATTTTAGTTGGAAATGAGAACTTTGCCCAGTTCGAAGATTCAGATGATAATAGTGATGAAAACAGTTTGAAGCCTGAACCTTCCAAACTGCACCGTGTGGTTGCTCACACTAGTCTGTTGCAGAACATGTCTGGTGCATCAGGAAAAATATCAGGATTTCGCATATTGATTTCTGGAAATCCCAGATCTGGCCAGAGGCATCTTGCTTCTTGCCTTCTCCACTGTTTTGTAGGGAATGTTGAAATTCGGAAGGTTGATTTGGCTACAATTTCTCAAGAAGGACATGGAGATGTGATGCAGGGATTAACACAAATTTTAAGTATGTTTCCTTTTCTTTGTTCTTTTAAGCCCGAATTAATTCATAAATAGTGCCTGTTTCGAGCTTTAAACTCCACTTTGTCATTTTATAACTCCTATTGTGCCCCTAGTCTTATTCCTGTACATTGTCTTTTTTCCGACAAATTGAGCTGGATTTTTGCTGTTCCATTTTCCAGTCACTGATCAATATTTTAATTGCAATGGCAAATTTATTTAACCTAATGACCCAATGTATTAAGAATAAAAAGGTTTTATCGGTTGATCAAGACTTGTTATTGACTGTGTTATTTCTAGACTTTAGAGGCTAAATATAATGCACATTTGTCTAAAATTTTGTTTGGTGGGAAATTTGAAAACTGTCTTTAAGTTGGTTAGCCTGGGATGTGATGTGGGTGGTATGGATGCAAGGTGTTAGCATGTGCTTTAGAGTCACATATATATCTACTGACTATTGGATGTGACGATTGGCATTAGTCTGAGGTAGCACATGACTGTCTGGAAACTGAGGACACTTATGCAGACATATAACGTATTAAAACATTGTTGCATGATATTGATTTTAAAATGGTTCCTGTGCCAGTAGTTACTGCAGGTCTGTTACTTAGAATCTGGTGAAGTTGCATGTTACGGTAAAGGATTCATCTGCCATAACAGTATCTTTTGTATCATCCATATCAAACTATAGATTGTATGTAATCCGGACCTTATTGAAAAGGTTCCTGAGACAACATGGAAGAATCACAATATTGAGAAATTGACTCTACATAATGTACCATCTGTTGTTTGAGGACTTTATCCTTGTGGGTTGCAATTTATTGTGTTTCGTTCAACATAACTCTCCTTTGACTTTTTGTATTAATTTCACCCTTAGGTACAGATGCAAGTTATTGGAAATAAAAGCATTCATGCAGACATGAAACATATTAACACATTGTTGCATGAGACTGATTTTTCCATTCTGTAATGGTTCCAGTGACAGAAGTTAACATGGGTCTTTAAGTTTGTATCCGGGTCTGCCATAAAACGATTCCTTGTGTATAACAAAGCTATGAGGGTATCTAATCCAGACCGTATTGAAAAGGTTCTTGAGACACAACGTGGAAGAGTCACAATATTGACAAACTGACATTATGATATTCCATCTGTTGTTTGAGTACTTCATTGAGTTCATTCCATTTAAAATGTCTATAGATGGAAGATCTAGTAGGTTGTAATTATTCTGTGGTTCACAGCCCAACTATATTTTGACTTTTTTGTATTGCTTTCACCCTTAACTATTGAATTCTTAGTATTGCATACTTGGCCTTTTTTTTTTGCCTCGAAATGTGGCTTCTTGTGTGATCTAAGTATACTCTTAATTGTTTGTATCTCTGCTATTGCGTTTTGCCAAGCTAATGTTGTCCCGATCCCGATTCCAATCCCTTCTTAGCTGTACATGCTTTGCGACATCGCTAATTGCCTTCTGTTCTTAATTTAATAAATAGTCTTTATTCGGTTTGGTGTTGTTACAAAGATACATTTGTGGGTTGCATCTTTTGAGGTACTTTGTGCTGTCTATACAAGAAAGGAATTAAAAAAGTCACATGCAGATTTTGAAGTTTGTCAGTTATTCAAAGGTAAGGATTACAACATAGATAAATCCGGTTTTATCGACCTTGCAAGCTCAAAGAATTGTACCTAATTTGCTTAAGATGAGGAAATTCTTGCATGAATGCACACATTCTAATGGTGTGTAAAATTGGGTTGATGAGAAAGATACTCATACTATGAGTTTTTGTGGCAGTGAGATGTGCTAGTGAGAGTTCGTGCATGATATTCATGCCAAGAATTGATCTCTGGGCTGTAGAACAACATGATCAAGGCAACAAGAAGACTGATTACCCTTTAATGAACCTTGAAGTGTCTGAGAACAAGTCCTGTTCACCAAACAGTGAAGTATCTGATAATGAAGGCAATTTGTCTCCATCAGCAAAGATGGCAGGGCTCCAAGATGCTTTGCAAAGGGTCTCAGATCTGTGGAGCTCATTTGTTGAGCAGGTGGAGTCAATATGTGTGTCTACATCCTTGATGATTCTGGTATGATTGTCTCTTCTTTAGTTTTCCTTTATTCTGAGGAGTCTGAAGTATCATACTAAAACGAATGTGGTGACATAGAATACAAATATTGTTAGGCCTTTGGACTTACAGCATAGGTTACACTGATGCCGGTATAGATTATTGAATCCTCTCTCTCTCAGGCACACACACACACACACACACACACAAAAAAAAAAGACATCTATACAAAAAAATACAGGTAGCACTTCATGTTAATGAATTTTAATCATGGACTACCCGGTTTTCTAATTCTATCCAAAAGTATTTATATGTGATTATCTTTAAAGGTGAATTTCTATCTATAGCTGTGTTACTGGTATTGAAGTGTGCTGCAGGTATGGTGTCTATGAAATCAAACTACTTCATGTCCCCCAAAACGGTTCCTGAGTGTCCATCCAGCATTGTCCATGACTCCATTTTGATGTCAAATGACTAATTATCGATGCTCATGAATGATCCTAGATATGGTAACTACTAGCTAGTATTAATTGACTTGTGTAAGACCATTTAAATGAGTATTCTAAAACTAATTTCAAAGCCAAAATAGACATGTTTTAGGGGCAGAGAGAGTCAAAGCAATCACAAGTCTTACTATTGAGTTTTTGCTAAATTTTGATGTTAATCTCCATGGAAATCTAAGATTTGAGTGAAGCGGAATAACTAAATTACCTGCTGTAGAACGACAATCTTGACCATCCAAAGAATGGAGGGATGAGTGTCTGCAATTTGGCAAGTCCTCTTTTAATAATGCACCATATGCATTTGAAATCTGTATACCATATATTTGTAATGTGCTTGATCTTTTCGTCCACTATATATTTTTCAAATAGAAACTTTTCGTATTTTGAATCAGTATTGATGTAAATTGCTGCACATGATTTCTTTATCTTTAGCAATCTTGCTCATTTGGGTGCCATTTATGTCAAGCTGCTGATGCCATTGCCTTACATTAGAAATTATCATATTCTTGCTGGGCAATAATTTCTTCCAGTAATTAATTATGTTGTTTCATTATTTTTATGTTGTAATAGGCTACATCAGAAGTGCCAGTTGCAGTACTTCCTCTCAGAATAAGGCATTTCTTTGAGAGTGACTCACTGGATTGTATTCCTTCAACTCACTTGGGAGGCACAGTACCCCGATTCTCTGTGTCTGTCGATGAGAATTTCGACCATGATATGGTGATTGATTCATCTGCAGCAAAGTTATCAAATGATTTGGCACGACAGTTTGTTCAGTTGATACATCATAGAACTCATGTCTGTGGAAGTACATGCAAGGAATATAAAGCTTGCAATAACATTGAAGGCGATGCAGATACAATTTGTGCCAACCTGGTTACTGAACCTGTCACTGAACATGGAACCAAAGGTGAATGCCCTGTTAGTCCTGTTATGAGATTTCCACTTCCACTTCCAACCAAGTATATGAAAGGGAAACCGAGCTTGCTGTCAGCGATATCAGCATTTGGATATCAAATCTTGTTGTATCCTCATTTTGGAGAACTTTGTTGGGTCACATCCAAGTTAAAAGAAGGTCCCTATGCCGACATAAATGGACCTTGGAAGGGCTGGCCTTTCAATTCATGTATAGTTCGTCCTAACAACTCATTAGAAAAGGTAGTTGCTGCTTGTAGCTCGAGCAATGTTAAAAGCAAAGTACAATCTGGTTTAGTTAGAGGCCTAATCGCTGTTGGTTTATCGGCATATAGAGGTGTCTATACATCACTTCGGGAAGTTTCCTCTGAGGTTCGGAAGGTTTTGGAGCTCCTGGCTGGACATATTAATGCTAAAATTCAGGCTGGGAAGGATACATACCAATATATTCGCCTTCTATCCCAAGTGGCTTATCTCGATGATATGGTTAACAGCTGGGCATACACACTCCAAAGGTACACCATTGTCATCATTGCTATTTGCTTTTGGATTCCTACTCTTTTAGTTGGTTCTTATATAACAAAAATTTCTATCCTTTTAGTTTGGAGGTGGATGCTCAACATACAGAGGCAAGCCCTAAGCCATCATGTGTGGAATCTGTGGACAGTTCAAATATTAGCAAGGATAATCTCGTGCAGGGTGATGAATACAAACCAAATGTTCCTAATAAGAGCTCTCAGGAATCTGTAGTGCAGGAAAAAAGTCCCGGGGGATTGGATGCCAAAAACATTGTATCTATTGATCTGAAAGATGATAATTGTCATCACTCAGAAACAGAAGGGAGACCTGCAGTTTTAGAAGAGCTTTCAGAACAGTGTGTCTTGCACCGTGCTGTTGCTGTTCCTCCAATACATTTTCAGGGTTCTTCATCTGCTGCTGATTCATTGGGTGTCAAAACATCGGTTGAGCAAAATGGGGTCAATGCCGAGTCATTTAGGTCAGAAGATTCTGGAACTCATGCTGATGGCTCTGGAGATTTTGCTACCATAAGACAATCTAATGGATTTGCATACAAAGACACTGTCGTCCTTCCCAGTGATGGTCCCTCTTGTTCATGTGATTCAGGTTGTGTAAAGCTGTCTAGCACTGGAAAAGAGAGCAACCAAGATAATGGTTTGTCCTTGGCAGGGATTAGTACTCAATCTGAGGATGGAAAACTAAACTCTGCCAGTTTACCAACTGATTCTGGTGTTGTGTGTTTGTATGGTTGTTGCTCTAAGTGCCTAATCAATATCTACCATTTAATGCGAAAAATTCTTACTTATCAAGTGGGACTGGAAGGGAGTGATTGGACAGCGGAAGATGTTCATGATGTTGTGACGACATTGTCTCTGAATCTTCATACGACAATAAGGAAATTTTTTCTGGCTGGAAGTTCAAGCAATACATTTGAAAAAAATCTGACACTTGATAATTATAGCAAATTCTTTGAAGATCGAGAAATGTGGACATGTCTTTGTAAAAATTCAGAAAATAGATTGGTCATACCGATGGAATGTATGTGTGATTCAACAAACAAGAGTACAGCTGCTGAAGTAAATTCCTCTCAGAATCTTCAACAGTGGCTTCATTCAAAATATATCTACAGAGACGGTGTGCTGTCCAATGTGGATCCTGAAAAGGATGCTTCTTGTCACTGTAAATTTAAGACATTATGCCTTTGTTCTCTTATAGAGTGGATAGTAATGGCCAAGCAGCCTTTAGATTGATGTGATGCTGTCACATCTTTAATTGGCTTCCCCTTGGCAAATTTTGATGTACTTGCGGAATTTAGGTATGAAATTTCCCTCAAGAGATGTTAAAAAACAAAATTTTGTCATCTGAGTGTCAGTTTAATTGATGCTCTTCCATGGACAACAAATTTTGTCTTTCTGGCATACAAGCTAATCTGCCTTATGTAAGTAGCATTTGGAATTTTTTGATTCTTCAGTTTATGTAAATTTATGATGTTGTGATCATCGATTGCTTGATTGAGCAAAGCATTGAATTGAATTTTATTTGTTATGATTCTGTCCTCCAAATTTTTGTGGTTTGTAATGGGCGGTTGCTGGCTGGAAAGGAAGGAGGACTTTCATACAGAGACTGGGGAGTTTAGGTATGAAACTTCCCTTGAAATGTATAAATTCAAATTTGTCTTTCAAGCAGCAGTTTAATACTCTCTGGGGTACAACCCACCTCTGCATTATTATGTTAAGTAGCTTTTGGAATATTTTTTATTCTTAATTTGATGATCCTGCCGTAAGTGATAATTTATGATGTTCTGATTATTGATTTCTTGATTGAGCACAAACATTGAAAAGACCCACCTTTGCTTGTACCCCTCTCATCTTTTAGAGAATATATCATTAACCATATTGTGTGGCTACATATAATATTGGGTGGCTACATGTAGGGCGGGCCTTGGCACAATGGTAAAATTAACATTGTTGAGAAAAAGATGGCTTTTCTCAGATGAAATGAAAATTGGAGAAAGATTTCCTATCCCTTAGCCGGAAAGATATGGGCTCGAACACGCCAAGCCACTTGGCCCACCAGTCTTCAAATGCTGTTTTTGGTGGTTCAGGCAACACAGGTCCAGTCAGAAACATTGGCTTTCCGTATTGACTTCCTATGTACTCACAAAAGCTTCCTTCTATTTCTTGGCAAGTTCTTATAGAGAGGGCGTCACATTGTTTCATGGCGGTCGTGATACGCTCATAGAATGTGGTGCTGGCACCAAATTCTAACGTCATGAAAGACAGTGACCCAGCTTCATGTGGGCGATACATCACAGTTGATGAAGGGTAGCCAGGGAGTGGCTCCAACAATTCGGCCTCTGTAAGTTGCCTGTCCTTTGGATATTTACGTGCTGGGACTAACCCAATCGCCAAACAATTAGCAGAAAACAACATTATAGCAAACAGTTTTGAACCCAATCTGAGATGCTAATTTCCGGTACCCAAGAAGTAAAAATCATAGAAAACAAAGTCTGGTTTCAGATCACGCAGGCAAGATTCAACTAGGACCGGTTAAGACAATGGGTATATTGGAGGCGGTTTCAGTGCCCGGAGTGAGGCCGTGGACATGAGGTGTGGTGAGTGTATGGAAGGAGATGAGATGTGTATGGATATTTGTATGGTGCAATTGAAGATAAGCCTTTTTAGAGGGTAAAAATGAGATTTTGTGGCCTCTTTGAACTAGCTCATTGGAGAGATGGAAGTATGGGGTCATATGGCCAAATGCAAACCATGGAAACATGGTTATGTGAAACTTGCAGAGATTTTCCTGAGCCATTTTTGCACTCGGGTGTCCTCTCTAATCTTGAGTTGGGATCAGTCTATGCTCTCTCTCTCTCTCTCTCTCTCTCTCTCTCTGGNAGCATTGAATTGAATTTTATTTGTTATGATTCTGTCCTCCAAATTTTTGTGGTTTGTAATGGGCGGTTGCTGGCTGGAAAGGAAGGAGGACTTTCATACAGAGACTGGGGAGTTTAGGTATGAAACTTCCCTTGAAATGTATAAATTCAAATTTGTCTTTCAAGCAGCAGTTTAATACTCTCTGGGGTACAACCCACCTCTGCATTATTATGTTAAGTAGCTTTTGGAATATTTTTTATTCTTAATTTGATGATCCTGCCGTAAGTGATAATTTATGATGTTCTGATTATTGATTTCTTGATTGAGCACAAACATTGAAAAGACCCACCTTTGCTTGTACCCCTCTCATCTTTTAGAGAATATATCATTAACCATATTGTGTGGCTACATATAATATTGGGTGGCTACATGTAGGGCGGGCCTTGGCACAATGGTAAAATTAACATTGTTGAGAAAAAGATGGCTTTTCTCAGATGAAATGAAAATTGGAGAAAGATTTCCTATCCCTTAGCCGGAAAGATATGGGCTCGAACACGCCAAGCCACTTGGCCCACCAGTCTTCAAATGCTGTTTTTGGTGGTTCAGGCAACACAGGTCCAGTCAGAAACATTGGCTTTCCGTATTGACTTCCTATGTACTCACAAAAGCTTCCTTCTATTTCTTGGCAAGTTCTTATAGAGAGGGCGTCACATTGTTTCATGGCGGTCGTGATACGCTCATAGAATGTGGTGCTGGCACCAAATTCTAACGTCATGAAAGACAGTGACCCAGCTTCATGTGGGCGATACATCACAGTTGATGAAGGGTAGCCAGGGAGTGGCTCCAACAATTCGGCCTCTGTAAGTTGCCTGTCCTTTGGATATTTACGTGCTGGGACTAACCCAATCGCCAAACAATTAGCAGAAAACAACATTATAGCAAACAGTTTTGAACCCAATCTGAGATGCTAATTTCCGGTACCCAAGAAGTAAAAATCATAGAAAACAAAGTCTGGTTTCAGATCACGCAGGCAAGATTCAACTAGGACCGGTTAAGACAATGGGTATATTGGAGGCGGTTTCAGTGCCCGGAGTGAGGCCGTGGACATGAGGTGTGGTGAGTGTATGGAAGGAGATGAGATGTGTATGGATATTTGTATGGTGCAATTGAAGATAAGCCTTTTTAGAGGGTAAAAATGAGATTTTGTGGCCTCTTTGAACTAGCTCATTGGAGAGATGGAAGTATGGGGTCATATGGCCAAATGCAAACCATGGAAACATGGTTATGTGAAACTTGCAGAGATTTTCCTGAGCCATTTTTGCACTCGGGTGTCCTCTCTAATCTTGAGTTGGGATCAGTCTATGCTCTCTCTCTCTCTCTCTCTCTCTCTCTCTCTGGGGCTTCAGTTAAGGTTGTTGACCCCCTGTCGGTTGTGCGTGAGATCAAAAGCTACAAGTACTTAAAAATTTGAGGTTGAAATAGTGTTGAAAAGTTACACAAATGAGACTCGTCCTTTACATGTGAATTGATTTCCACAAAGAAATCGCCGTGGTGTTGGAAGTTGTAGCATTTTAATGTCCCTCGAATTGTGTTTAATCTTTAATGAGTCTAAAGAGTAGAGCTTGTAATCTTTAATAGGATTTTAATTTGATTTGTGACTCCTTCAGTTATTTTTAGCCAATTCAACTCATTAATCCCATACTATCCGACGAGACAAACACTCCATTTGTGCCGACTTCTTCATTGTCAACGAGTCACAAACCGCCTCAACATATAAATAGGCATATGATCAGATCAAGTTCCGTGTTGGCGTGGCGTGAAAATATCCAAAAGTGATGTGATGTATATCTGGGAGAGAGAATGTGAATCTTTTACATTCAAGAGGTTTTTTCAAGGACTTTTTATTGAGTGGGGTCCGCAAAAAATTAGGGACTTCAACTTGAATGGTCAAAGTTTGTACTGTTATACTTAGTTTCTCTTGATAATAAAATAATTAGATCGTATCATGTCTGATAAGCAATATTTTATCGAATCACGTAAATTTTGGTATCGTTTATTATGCATTTATTCATTTTGTCTTATTACTATCCTATCATTGTACTAATCAAATTATTGCGAGTTTTTAACAGATGGTATCAGAGTTCATTAATCTATCAAAGGAATAATACTATTGCTAACAACAATTGGAAAAATAAATTACAAGAAAATTGAACTTTGAGAAAAATAAGGCCTGTTTGGTTTGGTTCTTAGAAAATAATATTCGAAAATAATTTTTGGGAAGAGTTTTAGAAAAGTGTGTTTTGATGTTTTCTGAGACTAAGAATTTGTTTAGTTATATAATTCCAAAAACAGTTTTATAGAATAGAAAACAATAAAACATGTTTGAACAATAACACAATAAATAATGAAAATAGAAATATTGTTTGGATTGACTTGATAAAAACTAACATAAATCATATTATAGTAAAAAAAATTGTTTTGTACCCATACTAAAGAGAAGTCCCACATTATCTCCATGTCTTTCCGTTGATAACCCAAAGTGTCATTGGTTGACAAGGTAGCCTCAAATTTTTTCCATGTCTTTGTTTGGCAAAATCCAACATTGATATAAACAAATAAAATGGAAAAGGCCTGTCGTTATGCCTACTGTTACTTGTACAACATTCATATGAGCAAAATCCATCATAACAAAGAAAGTTTGAATAGGATCAATGCAACCCAGCGAATCGACAACCCAATAATAGAGAACAACGACAGATAGTCGATTAAGTGTTGTTGATTGCTCAACTTCATGCAGCTCCTATTTCACCAGCCGGAGTTTCTCCACAAGCTTTCGTCGAACAATGAGAAGTCAAATCTAGGGTAAAAGAAATAAAAAACAAAACCTAGATCAGATAAGCCTCATACAAACCCCAAAAAAAAAATCAAGAAAAAAATAAATAAAAAAACCCAGATCTAGCAGATCTGTTACCGGCATCTTTGGAGCTCCACCTTCGTTTAGCAAGAGCTGTGTTGCAGCAGATCTGTTATAGTATTGAAGGGATAATGGAAAAATCAAAACAAAAATAAACCCAAAAAAAAATCATGCCAGAAACGAAAAAAAAAAACCCAGATCCATGACTTACTTGAGTCGCTGGAGCTATGCCTGTGATTAGCTAGAGTTGTGCCTTCACATTGCTAGATTTGGGTTTGACTCATCCAAGATCTTTGGAAGAGAGAGAGAGAACCCTTTTATATGGTGCAATAAGTGTACAGTAAAAAATATAAAAATACTTGGCTGCTTCCCGTGTTTTCCATAAATTCGAAGAGCGGTTCTTGAAAAGTGGAGGAAACAACTTTTTGATGTTCTCTAAAATTACGTTTTTGTTTCCAAAATTTTTAAAAAGTTGTAGAACGGAAAACTAACCAAAAAGGTTTTTGATTGTTTTTAATGTTTTGAGAACAAAAACCAGTTTTTCAAAATCAAATCAAATAGACCTATGTTTTTGTTCCCAAAATTTTTTGCAGATTGAAAACTAACCAAATAAATTTTTGATTGTATTTAATATTTTGAGAACAAAAAACAGTTTTTCAAAATCAAACCATAAGGTTTGGCATCTCAGTCTCACCAGCTAGTTGCCTAGTTAGGTTGCCAACCATGTTTGTTTGATTGTTTCCCATAAAGGTCATGCAGGTTCAGAATGAACTTATCAATGTAATCACTCATAAAGCCTGGTCTTACTAGGGTTTCCTTCCACTTAGCATGGTTATTCTTAACCAAGGCACCCACTTGATCACCATTTTTGTCCATTGCCAACTTAATAGCCTGGCACAAACCCTCCTTTGAAAACCCTCCATTCTCATCTCTCTCTACCTCCACTGCAACCTTCAATTCATCAGCCATTAATCTAGTGTTCAAAATCTGGTCACCCAGGTGAGGTACAAGCACAATCTGACTCTCACTCATCAAAGCCTCCCACATTGACCCAAACCCACAGTGAGTAACAAAGCACCCAACTGATTTATGGTTTAATATCAATTGCTGTTGAACCCATCCCCCATGTACTATTCCTCTACCTTCAACCCTCTCTTTGAACCCCTCTGGCAACGCTGCTTCTATTGACACCGCCCCGGATGGTGGTTTTAGGGCAATCAAAAATGGTAAGCCTGTTAACTCAAACCCTAAAACAAGTTCTTGAAACTGGTCCTTTTCAAGGATCCACTGGCTCCCAAATGCACAGAAGAGAACTGAACCTAGCTCGAATCCATCGAGCCACTTAGCCCACCGGTCTTCCAATGGTGTTTCCGGTGGTTCAGCCAATACAGGTCCAGTTAGAAACATAGGCTTGTCGTACTGACTTTCTATGTAGTCACACAATGGTCCTTCTATTTCTTGACAGGTTCTTATTGAGATTGCATCACATTGTTTCATGGAGGTTGTGACACGCTCATAGAATGTCGTGCCAGTGCCAAATTCTAAGACCATGAAAGACAGTGACCGAGCTTCATGTGGGCGTAGCACCACCGTTGATGAAGGGTAGCCCGGGGGTGGCTCCACCAGTTCGGCGTCCGTAGGTGGCTTGTCCTTTGGAAATTTACGTGCTGGAACTAATGCAATTGCCAAAGAAGCAGCGGAAACAACGTTGTAGCAAACAGTTTTGAACCCAATCTGAGAAGCTAATTCAGGTATCCAATAAGCAAAATCATAGAACACAAAGTCAGGTTTCAGATCGCGTAGATACGCTTCAACTTGATCGCGTGTGAGGTCCAGGGCAATCGCTAGCAAACCAGTTAAGAAAATGGGTATATCGGAGGCGGTCTCGGTGCCGGGAGGGAGACCGTCGACATGAGGCACTGTGAGGGTGTGGAAGGTGATGAGATTTGGATGGAGATTGGTGTTTTGCCATTGAAGGTGAGCCTTTTTCGGCAGTAAAAATGAGACTCGGTGGCCTCTTTGAGCTAGCTCATTAGACAGATGGAGGAATGGAGTGATGTGACCAAAGGCAAACCATGGAAACATGGTTATGTGAAGCTTGGACCCATTTTTTTTAGCCATTTCTGCACTTGGGTGTGCTCTAATCTGACGTTTTTGTTCTTTCTGGTTGATGATTGTTTGCATGGAAATTGTATTCACTTTGTTTGTAGGGTGAACAGTCAATTACTATGAGTGATCCATAAATCTACACGTTTACGAAATATGAGGTTGATTGTTGACTAAATCCCAACCGAAAGATTTTGGGAAAGGCTATTTGTATTCCCCTTTTCAAGAGTAAAGGTGGATGGATGACCATCATGTCGACTAATTCCTCAAACCTCCATTTACCACCATTAATTTTAAGGGATAATTGTTTTTTAACCTCCCCTTGTTAACGGAATTATAAAATTATCATAGTACTTAAGTTATGAAATCAGTCTTTTCTTGTGATTTACTCTTACTAATGTAATGAACGAAAATCACTATCAAGACTTGAAGCAAAAGTTTTCCACTCTTTAGTATGTCGAGTTTGTTCTTCTCTCAAGTGAGGCTTTTGATGTGGGACGGAAAATCACTTACTCATGTTTCTCTTTCGTTTTTTTGATCTGAGACCGATGCCATAACTATTTGGGTATTATATCATACTCTCTCCGTTCTTAAATATCTATCGTTTAAAATTTTTGCATAGAGATTAAGAAAGTTATTAAATAACTCTAATATGAGTAAAAAATAATTACACAAGACTAAAATATTCTTATTTAATACGTATTGGGAAGGAAAAGAATATAAAAGATACTTAGCCTCCATCTAATCTAATTCATTGAAAAGTTAAGGGTAAATTTGAAAAAAAAAATATTAATTATGTTTTAATTTCATTAAACGACAGATATTATGAAACAAAAAAAATTGTGTAAAACAATAGATATTTAAGAACAGATGGGGTATATATTATGAAGGACATTTTAGACACTAAAACAATGTTCTTTTGGAGAGAAACAATGAAAACAAAGTCCACATGATGTTTTGGACGTGTGAAACACACTCTCTGTTAATTTGAATGATTAAATAACGATTTTACTTTGATGCATAAATATAAGGGGATGTGCATAATTTTAAATATGAAGTATGTAAGGTATTTTTAGCGAAAACTGCAAGGGGCTAAACAATAATTAACCATAATTTTAATAACTACAACACCTCAAGGCATGTGAATCATGCTTTATCTCCACTTGTGTAATTTTAAAGATCAATATTTTGATATATTAAGTTCTTGACGGACTTGTTTTATATATAATTTTGTACATTGCTCTCTTAATATTTTGTTAATATTTCGTCGATTTCACAATGCAAGACCATTTTTTTAGCTAGCATTGTTTTGTAAAATGGTTGCCCACATATATTTGATCTCTATTTTACCATATATTTTTCTCTTTTCTTTTTTTTTTGACCAAAGTAGTTGGGTCTAATTTGAGAACGTAGTCAGAGACCTAATTTATTGCAATCATCAAATTATTTGTGAGTTTCAATAAAACCCACTTTTAAGCCAAGTAATAATTAATTACGTTTCTAGATTATGTTCTCAAACAAGTTATAAATACCATTTCCCTTTTAAAAAGCCAATGTAAAAATTGGGCATTATTTTTTTCATTTTCCTATTTATTGATAGGAGGTGGTTAAACAATATCTACAAAAGTTAGAGTGGGATAATGTGCAATAGAGCCTAGGTTTAGGGTATTCACTATTTCGTGTAGTTAACCCTCTTTTTTCTTCATTTTCTATAACCACTGTGAAGTTGACCAGTAATTTTTGTAATTTCCCTATTTCTTACTAAGACTTTATAAATTTTTTTTTTGTCAGATATTATTTCAAGAGAGAAAGACGACAAGATTTAAACCTGTGATTTACTAATATTTTATTACTTGGATCAGTCCATGTGGGTGAAAAAAAACCAATATCGCCCTACATTTTTGTATATACATCAAGGGCTCCCCAAACCCTTCCAAGCAAGATAGAAGAAATTTGACTTAGAGATTGGAATATAACAATAATACCAATTGGTTTTAATTTATTGATCTAATCTATAAACCTAATATATCACAACCCTTCGATTGATAGCGGGTCCCCCATCAATACTATGGTCTACTGATTAATTATATCAAGAATTGTATTTATGAATTAAGTCCAATAAAGTTATCTGAAATATAAATAGTGTTCCTGAAATTTTTCCCTCAACTCAACCTTATGGGTATCAAAAGGTCAAAAAGGCTTTGATTTGCCGGAGTTGTACTAGTTTTACATTGAATTCATCATTTATCAACAAGTATATTCTCAATCATTCATCCAATTTCCCCACAAATCTATGTTGGGATAATATCAGGTCAGGATAATGTCGTGTTAATGCATGGGAGCGGGTAGAATAAGGGTAGATAATGAACGGAAAAAGATAGTGAAATTAAACCGTTGATTTGTGCATAAATACTAGAATAGAATCCTACTTTAGAGCTGTTGATTTACAAAGAATACCAGTTCTAAAATTTTAATTAATCTGTTGATTTACAAAGAATACTAGAATAATTGAGAATAAAAGAGAAGCTCTTTCAATTGTATTAATCAATGCAACAACTTACATAAAGGCAATGCTATCTTTGAAAAATCCTTGAAAAATCTATGATAAATTTATGAGGAGTGTAAGGATACATTTGACAAATTGAAGAAGCTGTTAACTTCAGCACCAGTGATACAACCACCAAATTAAGAGTTGCCATTTGAGATTATGTATGATGCAAACAATTATGCAGTAGGAGCTGTGTTAGGACAAAGAGTTGGCAAAATTGTTCATGCCATTTATTATGCCTCCAGGACTTTAAATGTAGCTCAGATTAATTACACTACAATTGAAAAACAACTTTTATCTGTTGTTTTTGCTTTAGAAAAATTTCGGTCTTATTTGCTTGGTACTAAAGTTGTGATTTATTCTAATCATGCCACTCTCAGGTATTTGCTTTCAAAGAAGGAATCCAAACCTCAGATTATTAGGTGGATTTTGCTGTTATAGGAATTTAACTTGGAGATTAAAGATAGGAAAATAGCAGAAAATGTGGTAGCAGATCATTTGAACAGGTTGATATATGAGGAAGATGAGCTGTCATTACAAGAATTTTTTTCAGATGAGCAATTATTTTTTGTTGATAAGACATTACCCTAGTATGCGCATATTGCAAATTATTTAGTGGGTCAACATCTGCATGATAATCTTTCTAAATCTCAAAAAGATAAGCTTAAAAGTGATGCTAAATATTATGTGTGGGATGACCCATACTTATGAAAATTTTGTGCTGATCAGGTAGTAAGAAAATGTGTGTCTGAAAATGAATTTTTATCTATTTTAACCTTCTGTCATTCTTATGCTTGTGGAGGTCATTTTGGACCTAAAAGAACAGCTCGTAGGGTTTTAGAAAGTGGTTTTTATTGGCCAACTCTATTTAAGGACTCTTATCTATTTTGTAAATCATGTGAAAATTATCAAAGGACAGGTAATATATCGCTTAGAAATCAAATGCCACAGACTCTTATTTTGATTGTTGAGAGTTTTGATGTTTGGAGCATTGGTTTTATGGGACCGTTTCCTTCATCTTTTGGTAATGTTTACATATTTTAGGCTGTTGATTATGTTTTTAAGTGGGTGGAAGCTAAAGCCACCAGGACCGACAGTTCTAAAGTTGTTGTCGATTTTGTGAAATCTAATATATTTGTCAGGTTTGGAACTCCAAAGGCCTATTAGTGATAAAGGAATGCATTTTTGCAATAGGATGTTGGAGGCAATGTTTAGGAAATATAATGTTGTGCATAAGATTTCCATTTCTTACCATCCACAAAGCAATAGCCAAGCTGAGGTGTGCAATCGAGAGATCAAATCTATTTTGGAGAAAGTAGTCAAGCAAAATAGAAAGGATTGGAGTTTGAGGTTGGAGGATGTACTATGGGCCTATAGGACGACATATAAGACTCCTATTGGCATGTCACCTTATAGGTTAGTATTTGGCAAACCATGTCATCTTCCTATGGAATTAGAGCACAAGGCTTTTTGGGTGATCAAGCAATGCAACATGGATATGGATAAGGCTAGAGAACATAGGAAGTTGTAGTTACAAGAGCTAGAAGAATTGAGAAATGAAACATATGATAGCTCTAAAATATACAAGGAAAAGACAAAGGCCTTTCATGACAAGAAGATTTCTAGGAAGAACTTTGTTGTTGGACAAAAAGTTCTACTTTACCACTCAAGGCTTAAGTTATTCCCAGGTAAGTTGCGTTCCCGTTGGGTTGGTTCTTTTGTTATTACTAATGTTTTTTTTTATCATAGTGCAGTGGAAATTCAAAGCCCCAGAACAGGAAAAGTTTTTAAGGTGAATGGTCATAGACTTAAACTTTTTTATGAAGGTTTTCAAGTAGAGAATGTGGAAGTAGTGGATTTGGAGAATTCGACTTACTTAGGGTGAGAAGCACGATTTCTTGTCTAGCAAATGACGTTAAATAAATGCGCTGCTTGGGAGGCAACCCAAGAAACCAGATTTGAGTTTCTTTCCCTTCTTTTTATTTTTGTCATTTCTTATTTGCATAATTAACTTACATTGGGGACAATGTAAGGTTTAAGTGTGGGGGAGAGGATCTAAAACTTTGTTTACTTTGTTTGTGTTGCTAAAAATAATAATAATAATTAATCAATAAATATTTGTGTGCGGAATTGGATGGTTTTGTTTGGATTTTATTTGGCTAAGCTCTTGAAGGTTGCCAATGAATGTGTGAGAATTAATGCTGACTTGTAGATTTTGGTTGATGTTTAATTAATTGATGAATAATGATAACCAAGTCACAATCCACACTTGAACTGTTGTAAACTGATTTGTTTTGATGAGCATAAGTGCTTGAATATGAGATACATGTTTTATTAGATAGGTTGTATGGGTGTCTAACTATGTGCATTGGTTTCAAGACTTAGAACTTGCTTAACCATTGATTTTGTTTTCTAATTATGGAACTATGTTAGAGAAATGAAAAAAAAATAAATAATAAAGTAAGTAAATCGTGTGGTGGGTTGAGATGGAGCATAAAACGCACTCACTCATAAACACACGTACAAAGTGAGATGGAGCGTAAAACGCACTCACTCATAAACACATATATAAAGTGAGATGGAGCGTAAAACACACTCACTCATAAATACATGCATAAAGTGGATAGAGCATAAAATGCACTCACAAAAAAAAAAAAAGATGAGTAATTGTGTGAAAAGTAATAGTGGAAAAGCTATGTTTCAAGTCTTGAAATGGTGTGCATACTTGTTCTCCCATATGGACTTAATTGTGTATTCATGTTGATCATAGGAAAGGTACTTGTGTGCATACACTTGAATTTTGAAATTGTTTTATGGAAAATGACAAGGTTGTTGTTGCGAATTGATTGATGAAGTATTAACCAAATTCCTGCTAGTTAGGCAGTAATTTTCATGGATGAGCTATTGAATTTAAGACCTTTGAAAGTTTGGTTGAATGGATTCAAGTGAACTTTTTGTTTTGTTTTCAATTTTTGTCTACACGACGACATGTAAAAAACTAAGTGTGAGGGAATTTGATAAGAGCATAATATTTAATATTTCTAATTTCTTTATATTTAGTTTTATGACATATTTTATTTTTAAGTGAGCTGATTAATATATTTTTTGAATTAGGAAAGCATTGAAGGTAAAAGAATAGATATGAAGTATTATTCTGTAATTTTCAACTTTTAGGTAGTTCAATCAGTGAAACTTCAATTGAGGTTTGGATGGCGTTAGAGTTTCAGACTGAGAAATTGATCTTCATGAAGTTTTTAGAGGACGTCTTAAGCTTTTCAGAAAGGTATGGTTTGCAAAAATCCGAGTTTGTTTGGGCTGCCAAACATTGTTTCAAAGTCGGGCCTGGAAAGCTGATTTGAATCCTTATTGGACCAGTAAACTTCAGTGGGTCATAACTTGAGTTTCTGAAATCTAAATCAGGTGATTCAAAATCCTAAATTTATCTACACATCCAGGGCTACAACTTCCATCAAGAGTCCAAATCAAGATTTAGTCGTTATCTGATAGAAAAATAGCTCGCAATTTCCAGCAGGATTTCTGTCAATCTATTTTGACAAGAAATACCTATAATGTAGGGATTTGAATTGTACACGTTTTTTTTTGGGGAGGGGGAAGTGTCATATGTTTTCCAGAGGTGTTTAAGATTCCTAGAAGAAAAGAGAGAGGAAGAGGCGGAAATGAATTATTAGGGTTTTCTTATTCAAGTATGTCAGGCTAGATTTTCCAATTCAGTTCAAAGGGATTTCAAACCTTCATTGCAGTTTGATGGTTGAATCAAATCAGTAACATTATTTCTCCCTTTTCTTATAAAATCTATTTATGATAATCTGTTTTACTTGTTTTATTGATATTTGGTTTGATTGATTTAATGAAGGCCTATTAAATTGATTAGATTATTACCAATTGCTAGATTTAGGAAGTATATTACGTAATTGATATTGTTCCTAATCAGTCGTAGCAAATAGTGATAGATGATTGTGGACAAGCTTTTGTTTATTGCTATGATTTTCATGAACTAAGTTAAACAGTCTGAACTTGTGTGAGTGTTGCTTAGAATAATCTAATTTCTTTCATATTAATGCTGCCATTATATTAAATTTAGAGAACTTGTTTTAAATTGTCTAATGGTTAGAATCTAATGAAGAGCTTGTTTCATTAGTGAGGAATTAAGGAAAATTTCGGGTAGCAAAACTTGATGTTTCTTAGGTTTATTAGATTCATTGAAGGGTCGAATAATATTATAGTTGATTGATTGTTCCATAAATTGCAAGGGTAAGATTGAACCGAAGAACTGAAGTTTTACTTCATTGATTTTTGTTATTAATTTAGTATTTAATCATAATTAGTTTGATCAGAATTCCAACCCCCCATTTATTGTTTTGTTATTAATTGAATTTCAGTTTAGAATTGGTCAAAATAAATAAAAAATAAATAAATTGTGAACACTCTCTGTGGATTCGACCCTTACTCATCTAACTACTGTGTTTGTTTTTCTTTTATTGTGTTAAGAAGTAAGGTTAAATTTTTGGAGTGTTAACGACGTGCTTTCAAAATTTTTGGAGTGTTAAAAGAGAAGCTCTTTCAATTGTATTAATTAATCAAAAACTATTAGCTCTAAGACTTACAGGGGTATAAATAGTGCTAAAACCGTAAAACTAATTAAGAAATAACCAAACATGACCTAATTATCATTAATTACGTAATTAGGTCATTAATACAAAATTTGTCAAAAAAGAAAATTTTTAAACTAATTATTTTGCTAAAAACTGCTAATTATCCGAATTAAGGTAGAACTAACGACGATTAATTTTGACCTTAGACAGTGAAGTTATTCAACTATAAAATATTATTAGAAATGACAAAGACACCCTTTTCAGGCCCTAAACAAAGTAATTTGTCCGAAATTCGTCCTGAGTCATCTGCCCTGGGTCATTTCACCCCGCCATTACTGACTTGACATGGGTGTTTAGAAACTCATATATGTGGAAGTGTTTTTGAAAAGATCAACCTGTGTGATTGGCCCAAACCACCTTGACATCGATCACATCAATTTAATTATTTTACTGTTATACGATTTGTATTACGTGTCCAAGTCGTATTGTGTTAAAATTGATTTAATTTATACCCGATTCACTTATAATAGCATAAAGTGAGATTTATTAAGTGGGTCACCCTTTTTGTCACCCAAGTTCATCAAACCTAAATACAAATTCGTTAATTTCGTATTTTGTCCACCAATAGTATGAAGAATTGTGAGACCAAACCAAACTTGCATCGTATTCATTTTCTGAATGAATGTGGATGGGGTTACAACTTTGCAATTAAGGCTACCCTGGGTCATGACAGTCACTGTGCTAGGATTGACTCCAGATCAGTCTTAGTCCAAGTCAAAGTGTACAAGTGTTGCCCTGCTAGACTTTGCAACACATTGGAACATAGGGTCGGTGCAAGCTAGGGCCCAAAACTTGTAAACAAATGAAGAGGCAACTTGCTGAGCAAGATACTCCTTAAACCCCTCCAACACCTACACTAATCCGGTGGAGATTGGGCACGAGTTATAAATTTAGATATCTTAAATTTAAAATTTGATAACACATTTTAAGTTTGAAATTTGGCATCTCGCTTAAAGTTAGACTATGTAGAATTTATTCTCGTGAATTTTCTAGTCTCGACATAGATAACTTGTTTTTGACCGGATTTAAAAAGAGGTTAGTCAAAGTGAATATAAGTTAATTCGAACACCTTTGAACTCAATAAAAAAAAAAAAAAAAAAAACCAAAACAAAGGACCTGATCTTACCCAACATTGGGTAAGTGAAAGCCTAGCTCATTACTGCCGAACAACATCAGATTTGGCCAACCTACGCCGGTTGGTTTAATAGATGAATACAAGTTGAGACGAAAATCTGTTCGAGTTTAACTAATGTGGGTGATCGATCATTGTGACATCCGGGTATGATCATTGTGACATCCGGGTATGAAGTTAAAAATTGTCCAATTTATTCAAAGAAAAAACAAACGCCAGATTGGGCCTGTTGTCTTCATGTGCCAATACATTCATCACATCTGACCTTATAGCTGTCACCTAATGGCAAGAAAAAACAAAATAAAAGTCCATTTTCTGTTCCTTAATTAGAAAGAAATCCATAAACAAAGGATCATCACATGGGACCTCCGCTGGTATGTCCTATTCATCCCCTTCCAGCCCTCCAAGCAACTATCCTACGCCCATGTTCCTTTGTTGCTTTGGTCCAATTAAATGCAGACACCTCCCTACCACCTCTCTCTCTTCCTTTATATGTATATATCCTATGCAACTATCACCATTCTTCTCGCTCGGCTCGTTTGATTGTTGTATTAAAAATGAATGAATAAAATAAAATAATATAATTTAATACAATATAGATAGATAAAATACAAAATTAAATAAGGTATTAGAATAAGACATAATTTTATTTAGTGTTTGACAATGCACAATATAAATGTTGTATAGTAATTATTTAATACAATTAGTTGCTTCGTTAGGAAATTATTTTTTTTGTATTAATAAAAATATCTTTAATCAGTGTTTGTTACATCGATGACAACTTGATTTTATAAACTAAGGGTTATAATAGTAAATGTGTAGAATAATACGTTTGAATTGAATTATAATACCATCTCTCTTGGTGGTGGTATTAAAATATCTTCATAATACAGTTCTATCGTAAAAAAAATATACGATAAATATATATTTTTGAAATTAGTACAATATCAAATTTACTTATTAAACAAAATATTTGACCCAATTAAATAAAAAATAATATAATTTAATATTTAATTTTTTTATAATACGTCTAACAAACGAAATTACGTAACCTTATCTGCAGCCACAATGTCAAATGTGTAGCAATCTTCAAAGGGCATGACGTCTAGGCTCCGTGGGCACTCCTAGTCTGTCCATATTTCTTTATGATGGCTATGTAATAAGATAAGAACCCCATATGGGTGTCCAACTAGTTCTGTCCTTAAGTTCTGCAGCTATGGAGTTTATTGTTGACTTCATTGAATCATCTTCTTCTTCAAACATGGATGAAAAGGTGGAGCCTGGAGAGCTTTTGGAGGAGTCTTGGTTTTTTGGAAGCTTTCCAAAGATGTCAAGATGTTATTCTGATCCTTGTCCTTCCGCAAACTACGGTGATCAAGAGATGTTTGTCAGAAAATCAACTGGGGAGAACTCTTCATCAACCCCTGGACGCGATCAATCTGTTGAAAATCCACGAAAAGGAAGAGATTTTGGAGAGAGAAAAGCGATCCCACCATCATCGCTTAACAAATTGGTTCGTGCACCATCTCTACCACCTTGTACAGGGAGGGAAGAAATTCAAGATTTGGACAGTGAGTTTACTATGAGCAAATTGATCAGACAAGCATCTCTGAGCACTTCAGACATGTTACCCCCGCGACGTGCTTCAAAGGTACTGAAATTCTCGTCTTTTAATTGCTTCGATCACTTTGATACAGTTTTTGGTGACATATAAAAGGATTTGTTGTTGGTTCAATAAGCCCAAAAATGCTCAAATGAGCCCCAAATCAGCTATCGCTCACCTTGAGTTGTATATAATTCCTTTTAGATTTCTCGGCCTAATTAGAAGTTGTACACGAATCACTATACATCGTGTATTACAAATCAAAGATATGTGGTTTCTTGATTGCACACAAGTGATCAAATAGTCTTGAATTTCGGATAAAAGGATGCCATATGCTTGATTGTATGAGAGTTACTCATTCCTTACTAGTTCTTCTGAAAACCTGGACTGGACTGGACTGCAGGCTATGACACAAAGCTCCAGCATACCGAGGCACAGAAAAAAGCCAGAGTTAGAAAGCATTAACATGGGAAGCTTTAAGGAGACGAGACGCGGCCTGATGGATCAAACTAAGATGAGAAAGAAGAGCCCAAGTGATCTTGAATATCAAGAAGTGCAAGGCGTTAGGGACTTGGGTTTTACATTTGAGAAAGAAGAGAAGAGCCGAATCGAGGCGGCTGGTGAAGAGGAGTTCAGGAGGCCTTATCTTTCTGAGAAATGGCAAGTGCAGAGCTCTGCTCCTCAAGTACCAAATTGGGTTGGCAAGAGTTCTGCAGAAGACATGAAGGAACAGATCAAGTTTTGGGCTAGAGCTGTGGCATCTAATGTGCGTTAAGACTATCGATAATTGATCACATAAACAATCAACCTCTCTCACAGTTAAAAGAGTATTTGATTAATCTATAGGAAGTTTGAATTGTAATTCAATTCAATTTTTTTTTATTTTTTAGTTACTGTAATTCTCGAAGTTCTTTCGTGCATAGCTTTATGCTTGGAACTCATGAGCTTTTCATATAAAAGAAGGTGGTTTTGTCCCAAGCACAGCTATGCATACAGAGAACTCTTTCAAGAGATGGAGAATTAGAAGAAAAAGAGAAAAGGGTGGGGAGATGAACTGCAGATAACTAAATTCATAGTCTATGTGAAATAATAATCTTTCTATTTTTTATTATATTTTTTGGAGTTCTTGTGTTAATACACTTTGTTATTGTTATTGGGACTTAGTAATACAGAACAATCTTCAAAGCCAATAAGAGTTATCAGTGACTATTATTAACAGCTTAGGCTTTTTGTTAACAGTGATACATTTTGTTTTGGGTCATCCATAGGCGGTACACAAAATTGGACTTAATTATCAAAAAATATATAGGAAAAAATATTTTGTAAAAAAGTCTACTTTAGACATAGAAAGATTTGAATACCCTTTTATTATAAATAAGTTTATTAAAAACGATTTTGGAAACTAACTCCATATTTAATTATCTCCACATTACCTCATGTGTTTGTCTCCACGCCTAAACTTTAGGAAAATCAAAACCCATAATAAATCTTCTCCGTTTTTTTAGGAATATGTTTCAAAATTTTTGGAAACTTTTAGTATTTGACAACTAAAATTAATGAATTTTAATTATCTTATCTTAGAAAATATTAAAATTAAAAAATTTTAATCACGTATATATGTGTTAATATATATAATACTACCAAGTCACACTATGAAACCTAGTTTTTATTACTCTTACACTGTTGATATACTGTATTGATACAATTTAAAGAGTTTATGAAATTAAAGTGTATCAATATAGTGTATGAGTAATAGAAATTAGAGTTTAAAAATTACACAAATTTAAAGTGTATAAAAAATAGTGTAGGAGTAATAGAACTTATACTTTATAGTGTGATTCGTAATATTATATGTGTATATAATTTTGTGATAATATAATTATTTCATTATATTAAAAAATATTTAATACAATAAGACAAAATTAAAAATTAATTCAACAGCCAAAAGAAATATGCATGATTTAAAGATGGACAAATATATCAAAGAAAAATCATGAAAAGTCAAATTGTATAATTGGACACAATTAAGTTCTAAAAATAAGGATTTAATGACATAATAATCAGCTTTGATTTCAATGTAAAAACCTCAAAGTTGATTGTTTATTATATAATGGGCTTGTTTGGACGACTGAAAACCTTAATTATTTTCGGTGACGCACAAAATAGTTAAAATAATTTTTTTAACTTTAATTTTTGCATTTTTATTTTTTAAACCTGTGTTTTGCATACAAAAAAATCAGCTCCAAACGGCCAAATGAATTCAAATGCTAAGCTGCTGCACCTTTTAATAATGCATGGAGAGAGAAATGGATACAAAATTCTTTTGGGGTTTTTTTTTGGTTAATTTCTAACTAACTCATAGCAAGTCAATTATGAGTTGAGCCTTAGTAATTTCTTTTGTTTATCTAAATTCCGAAGAACTCCCCTTGACCTCATCAGATCAGAACTATGTCAAAATCGAAGGCGCCTTACTAATGCAACTCTTGATATACATAAAAAAAATCTTCCACTTCGTCAGAAGTTGAACTTAGATATGTACGTGGATTTCAAGTAATAGGATCCTCCGCTCTTTTATCGTGTCGAGTTCCGGTCGAGCTTAATAATTAAATGAGCAAACGGTCACCATTTATAGAAATATTAGGGGTGTAATTTGGCCGATTTCAACCCGAAAAAATAAAGGTTTGTGCTAAAATTTTTAATACTTAGAGTTGAATTTGAGTCAAAAAATTTCAACCCGAATTTAATTTGGGTGGGCATTGGGTTCACTGATTCAACCCGAATTAATACTATATAAATGCAATTTTATCTTAGGGTTAATCTCAAGTCTATGTTTGTACAAGTATTCTGGTTGTGTTTATTTGTATTCTGTATGATTGTGGTTGCATTATCTCAAATATTAAGTTCTTAATATTATGAATTTTACGTTAAAAATTTGATTGAAGTTGTTGATTGTTAATTTAAGTGAATATTATGTATTATATATACCAAGTTTAGAACAATAAGTCTATTTTGGGTTCATCCAAAATGTCACATTATAATATTTTTAATATAATGAGAGTGTAATGTCAAAAATTTAATCTTTGATAGTACAAAATAAAATTTTTTAGAATATAAACATAATTCATCTAAATTTGTTGTTGAACCTTAAAATTACGGGTTTAAAGTGTTCGATTTTTAAATTGCTGATGGGAAAAAAATTAAAATAAGATATATTAGAACAAAAAAAAAATCAGATATATTATTATTTTTTCTTTTTTGGAAAAAGCTGATGAGGATATTGTTGAGTTCAGTGAGAGACTGAAAACTAGAACAGAGCACCCTTCTCGTTCTCTTTCAAAATCTCAATGTTGCAGACTCAACATCTTCTCTCCTCCACCTTCCCTTTCTCTCTCTCTCACCCTCAAACTTCACCACCCACTTCTCCTTCTCTCAACTTCCATTACAAGCCCACCATCTCTCTCCTCTCTCTCTCATCCCACAAAGTTCGCACCCAACCAGTCCCGTCATGGGTTGCCGCCGCCCAACCTGAATCGTCCACCACCACCACCGCACCACCAGAGGAGGGACCCATCGAACTCCCATCTTCCATGACCTCAATTTTCGCCACCTCCGATAACCCTTCTCCTCTGCAAGTCGCCACAAGTGTTCTGCTCACTGGTTCCATCTGTATCTTCCTCTTTCGATCTCTCCGACGCCGCGCAAAGCGTGCCAAAGAACTGGTACATAAACACTTTATCTATCTCTCACTATGAAACTTTATAGTGTTTATATTTGTTGTTAAGTTAAAATTTGTGTTGTAATGAACTGGGTTTTGGTGGGTGTAGAAATTTAGGTCTTCGGGAGCGAATAAAACACTAAAAGAGGAGGCAATTGAGAATTTGAAATCAATGACGCCTACAACTGTTGAAGCAAAGGGTCCTCCTTCTCCTGTTCAGGCACTACTAGGTGCATTATCAGCTGGTGTGATTGCGCTTATTCTATACAAGTTCACCACTACTATAGAGGCGTCTCTCAATCGCCAGACACTGTCGGATAATTTATCGGTTTGTCCCTCTTTTGCTTTGTTATCTTTCTTTCATATTGGGTTGCTTTTTCTTCTGTATGTGGTAATTTTATTTCTATGATTTAGTGCGCAATTGGAATTGTAGAATTTATTGAAGATGTTGGTCCAAATTCTCATTATTAATGGAATCCAAATGAACCTGGATTGATCAGAAAATCCTTTCAATTGGTTAGAATCCGTTACTTCAACGAAACTAAATCTTGTGAAATCACTTGAGTATTTGATGATACATTCTGTACCTTACTAAAAACCAATCATTTTTTATCTTTCCCAACCACATATTGTCTAACCTAATAAAATTCTCTCTTGATAGGCTTATTTTTACCTCATTTTTGTTATTTTTCATGATATCCTCATTAATTTGCAAGCAAAAGCTTGAACATGTTAGTGTATGTTTATTTAGTGTTCCTCATCATCAAACATTGAAACTGTTTTATTTTTCTGCTTCTCAGGTTCGCCAGATAACAATAACAATTAGGTAATGCTTGTCAACTTCATTTCCACATGCTTTGCTATTAATTTGTGAAAACATTCACAAGATTTTTTTTATCTGTCTACAGGACTATAATCAATGGATTGTGCTACCTTGCTACGTTTGTTTTTGGCATCAACTCCATAGGTTTATTTCTCTACTCGGGTCAACTCGCCATCAACTCTATGGGAGTTTCAACAAGTGAAGAAATGGAAAACAAGGATGGGATGCTGTCAAGTTCCTTATATCCAACAGACAAAGACAGCTCTGAGGAAAATAGCACCAGTGAAGATCAAAGTTCAGATAAAATACAATAATGGAAGGCATGGCAAACACCAAATTGAAGGAACAGGTTTCAGTTCCTTTGACCAAATTGTCGAATATGTAATTGTCTGGATTATATGCAATTTTGTCGTAATTTATTTTCCTTGTTTTCAATGCACTTCCACCATGCAATTTTTAGCTTAGTATAACCATAATAATATGAGAGTCTGTAGTTGAGAGCAGTTGATCTGGTTTGTTGAATGTCTATCTTTTTTGTTAATATTTCCGAGAAAAGTACTAAGAAAAGATGATGTGGTCATTGTTAGAATGTAGAAAACCATATAATCTCCTTAATGATGTTGATCATTTCCCCAAATGTCTACCTGCCAGAGTGCCAGGTCAAGTTGAAACTGGAATTGTGATGTTTTTTTTTCTTCAGATGGAATCCAAAATGAATGTTGTCGTAAATAGGAAAAAAGATACTGAAGAAAACAACAAAAAAAAACTAAAAAGGAAATTTCAAAATGTTGGACTGACTGTTGGCATTTTTTTGAGTTGGGTAAATCTTTAATTGCAAACAGAGGGGTTGAAGATACAGTATTTTTACATATGTTTAACACTTTTAGGTGTAATTTTTAGGGGTTGGAGGTTTCCAACATCCTGGCCTCTTGGTAACCTCCCGATGAAATAACTTGTCTCTAGTTGGTCATGGTATGTGCTATATTCTATTGATGTTTGTTGGTGATGCCTACTCTAGTCTCTTTCACTCTGGTTCATCTATAAGCTTCATAAAGCTTACGACATTACATTTGTTAGAAAACTGATCGGCCCTCTATGACAAGTCTGATTTCCTACTAGACTTGAACGCATCAGGCCATCTAGATGAGATATTGACCATTGGTTGACCCTGCAAATATAGGGCAGATCTTAGATGCTGATTGATTGAAGGCCAACTTCTGCAATCTGGACCCCGGTCTGCCAGATTTTGAATCATTAAGCTCTGGCGAGGATTCATCCACTTCAGTGACAATGTTTTGGTTCTTCTAGTAACATCAAACTAAGTTAAATGTAGTTCAGACTAGCAGAATTTGCATTTCCTTTAGGCATGGAGGAGGCAATCAGTGAGAAAGTTCTAAACAGAAATTGCGAGAGCCATTTGAAAATTTCCTATTTTAAACCTGTGAAATTAACAAAAAGATAAAGAGTGTTGAACTTCTTTTGCTTTTGGCTGTGGAATAAGCTCCCTAATTGGAGCCGAGTGAGTACTGTATTTCCCTTGTTGCTCTGATCTTACAGTTGCAGGCTGTTGTCAAGGTTGGACAACTGGTTTCTGCTTCCATTTCCATGCGGTAGTTCCTCATGCTCAATGGTCCTAGTGATGGCAGTAATTTCCTGACCAATCTTCTTGAAAAGGTTATGACTCTGGCGTGACTGATATTGATGCAGAGGGTTTGAATTTGTGTCTAACTTATGTAACACTGCCACCATTACTACCACGGAAATAAACATTGGGATGGGACCAAAAAGCCACATCAACAAAGTGGTGGCGAAATAGTGTGCTCGATGGCCACCTGCCCAGAAATTACTTCCTCTTGTCACTGCCTTCTGGACGTAGGTTGCAGGAATGTCAGCGTTTGGCATGGTTATGAGAAAATTGGCATGAACAAAGCACCTAGTAGTTTCCACGAAAGAAGCAAAAGATATTAGGAAGCAGGAAAGTAGAGCAATATATTTGATGGAAATGGTTGATGGGCTTGTGTCTCCGTATATAATATTGCTTGTGAAAATGTTTTCGGAGAAGCTTCCAATCCATGCTCCTATTAGAGAGCTCAGAACTAGGGAGATTGAAGACAGGGAAATTGCCACTGATATGTTGCTGTTGATCACGGATAGAGCTAACCCTCTGTCCTTTGCTTCAACCTGTTAATGCCCATCAAAGTCCCGGAGATGGTAAACATAGATGCAACAGATATATGCGATATCATTTGAGGGAAAGTAAGTGTTTGGAGGTCCTGACCTGCATCATTCTCTCAACCCAAGCTCTTTTGTTGTGGTTTTCGTAGCCTATGACTGTGGTCTGAGGAAGTTTTAGGACTCTGTAGAGAAGGAAGAGATGGTATCCAAGCATGATCAATAGTCCAATTGGGACCAAAACTATATCCAGGTATGCCTTTCTCCATGTCAACGCCATTGCTCTCTCTCTCTCTCTCTCTCTGTTGGAACTGGAACTTGATATCATTCTATAAATCTTAGCTAACTAGATTTCCATAGTGGATTAGGTAAATTAAAGGTGGCTTGACAATATGTTTCAAAGAGGTTTGGTCGTGGATGATGCAAAAGAGTACGAATATGAAACAATTTACAATGTGAACATATAGAAGATTTTCTTTGACTGATAACAGGTGCTAAACATGTCCACACCCCTAACTATATATGGGAATTAAGGGCCATCAAAGAGATTGTGCCAAAATTGTAATAGAATTTGTTATTTAGTAATCAATGGAGACCACCTCCTTACTCTTTGTCCTTATATACTATATTGATAAGGATAATGTTAGACTGGCCAACACATAGGCCAAAAAATAGTGACCAATTGCTATTAGCGTTGATATTGATTAATCATCAAAAATGCTATTTTATTATATTTAATGATTGATTAATTGCATATTATTTGTGATTAAATGTGTTAAATTTCTTAATTTTTTAGTTTGATATTTTTTTTAGTTATTTGTTTTATTTTGCAGGTAAATTGGTTGATTTAAAGTAATAATGGAAAAGACAAGTGAAACAATCACTAGAGAAAGAATTGAAGAAT